GAAAACATCTGTGTGGGAAAAGTAATGAAATTAATTCTAAAGTCTAGCAGTTGCATGCATTAATTGACGTTAATTAATGCCAAATTACAAGATACTTCCTATGGAATCGCATCATACACTCACTAGAATTGAATATGGAAAGAGTTCATCATACTTAATGCTATTACAGCAAGCCCCAGGGGGAATAAGAGTGATCGGTCCCTCATTATGAAGTGCAGCCAATTTCTTTCTGTTTCCATTAGGAGGAGAAAGAGAACAAACCAGGAGCACTTTACCAGGGGCGGGCAGCTCAAAATTGTTCATTTCCCCTTCAGCTCGCAGATTTCACTTTGAGCCACTCTAAGCAAGCAGTGTTTCAAAGCCTCTTCCTGGGACTTTGCGTGTGTCGCCCAGTGGAATCTTTGGTATTTCTTAGCCTAAGGAAAGGCTCATTACGTGCTTTGATTCTAGTGGTCTGCCTCAATATGTGTCATGGGGAGTGGAGAAAGAGGCAAAGCAGAGGGATTAGAGAAGCTTCCCTAATTTTTGTGGGACAGATCTCACAAGCCCACTGTGGACTAGAGCCCCTCCACCCCGTGGCTAAGAGATGCTGACCAGGGCTTTGCACACAGTTGTCTTCCCCTCTCATATCACTGCCTGTATACTATTGTTGACATCTCGTGTACATCTTTTATTCATTTTTCCAGTGTAAGCATACATAAGCAGATATCTATATATACAACTTGCAGGATATCCGGTTGATATGCACATATTTGGGTAACCTAGTTTAAAAAAAAAAAAAAAACTCTTATTTTGGAATAGTTGGATAGACAGAAAAGTTACCAAGATAGTACAGCTTTACCTAGCTTCCCTGAATGCTAACATCTTAAATAACCAAAGTCTATTTTTTTGAAAACTAAGAAATAAAAGCATTGATACAAATTATTAATTGGTCACCTATTTTTATTATATGAAATGCATTAAGCATTTCTGTAAATCCTCATATACTCTTTAGAATCAGGGTTTTAATAACAAACTATGCATGTTCTGAAATTTCCAAGTTATCCCTCTATTTTTGACCAGTTTTCTCTTACTTATTTTTATTAAAAACAACACTGATGAGTCCTGAAGTAGCTAAATCTTTGCATAGATCATTAAGTATTTCCTTGGTTAGAATTCTCAGAAATAAATGAGAGGTCAAAGGATTTTCAAGGATATGGATCCATATTGCCAAATTATTCCACACAAGATATGAATTTACTGGTCTTTTTTTTTTTTTTTTTTTTTTTTTTTTTTTTTTTTTTTTTTTTTTTTTTTTTTTTTTTTTTTNTTTTTTTTTTTTTTTTTTTTTTTTTTTTTTTGGTATCTGCGTGTTTGCATTGATACTTAAAGACAAAATATACTTAACGTAAGTTGATCCCAAACTTGCCAACACTTTTCCCACAACGTAGACTGGTGGAAATAAACCAGCCTTGGAGCCAACCAAGTTTGAAACCCATAATGCCATTTCTATAAATCATTATGTACTTGAGCTTCATTCTCTTTATCTAAAAACACCAGTCAATATATTATACTTTGTAGTACTGTCAAGATTAAATGTATGAAATAAATGTGGACCTGCTTTAGAGTACCTGGCACACAGATACTCAACAAATGTTGTTTCCCTGTTCTTTTATTTTCTTCCCAAATCCCTCAGGTTCATAATTTCTCAATAGCTGAGTTATAAATATGAGAAGTATATCTTTATATATTCTATCTTAAACTTGTTCAGGAACCTTTGAAGAAGAGGTTGAACTCTTAAGAAAGAAACTCTTAGACCCCATACAAATAAATCAAACACTGTGTATTTATCAAAAGTTCTCATCAGGTGACAGTCCAAGAAATTCTGATGAAGTTGTATTTGTAATTTGAAGACCAAGACCTCCTAATCAGGAACCTTTGATTCAGTTTGGTTAATCATTGTTTTAATTCATTATCTCACATAAGCAGCACAGAAAAAGAGCAGCTCTACGTTCAGTATAATCAGTAACTCAGTGTCATCAGGAAATAGGTCCTTTTCATCTCTTTGCATACTCATTATGTAAGCTTAACTGTAAGACTGCTCCTCTTTGTAAAAAGGCTAGAGCACTCATAAGCATCACATTGGAAGCAGCGTTCTAGAGAGGAAGAAGAGGGTCTTCTGCTGTATCTCCTGGTCCCTTCCCTGCAGCCCCTTACGAGACCCCCCTCACTTCTCATTTACACCCCCCCCCTTCACTTCTATTTGGAAAAATAGAAGTTATTGGAAAGATGTGGCAGAATGGTGGAGTGTGAAATTGTGAGGTGAAGATTTCGTGTGCCATAATGGGCAGGGGGACGATTCTGGGAGGGACTGACTCCCAGAAATTATCTTCAAGGAGAACGCAGTTTTAATGCTCTTTCCTAAATCAACCAATGGCAAGGGGAGTTGGAAGACGTTGAGTGGGCATAGACCAAAGAAAATTAATCCTTGCATATGGGCGCTTATCAGTCATGCAGGAAGAAGGATAAGCCAACCAATCCAGTATTGGCCTCTCCATCAAAGAGGCCAGGAGGAATGGGTATTGGGCAGGTCACCAAAAGAAACATAACTGATACAGAAACATACCTGGAGTACTCAAGTTCAATTTAACGACCCTTTAATAGACCCCCAAATTGATCCAGTTATTGTGAAGAGTAGCAAATGAGAAAATAGGAATATTATCATTGTTGATAACAGCTCATTTCTGTACACATTTGTGTTTCAAAATATTCAGCATATATTCTATTTTAGTTCATTTTTAGAGCCAAACTGCAAAAGAGTTGACAGTAGCATTCCCATTTAATGGATGAGGGTGACAAGACTCAGGAGGATGAAATTTATTTTGAATCAGGTGGCTACTAAGTGACCAAATCAGAACTCAAGCCCCAGTCTCATAGTAGTTAAGTTAACAGTGTCCATTGCTGTGGCCCCAAGCTATCTTTGGAAGAATAGAAGTCGTTGAAAAGATGTGGAAGAGTCTGGTGGAGTGTGAGGTGAATATTTTGTGCACCATAAGGGGCAGGGGGACAATTCCGGGAGGGACTGACTCCCAGAAATTGTCTTCACGGAGAAAGACCATGAGTTATGCCCCAAGATGGAACTATAAGAATGTTTGAAAAAGGAGGCAGGTAAGAGTGAGTAGATGCCTCTTCTTTAGTTCATCTTCAGAGATGGTTTCACCATGACTAGATGGCTTAAAGTACTTCAGAGCCATCGCATCCCCACAGATGGCAGAGAGATGAAGGAATATTGTGAATAAATCTCACCTCCTGTCTTATAAGAGCTCATCAGCAATTACATGTCCTTGGTCAGATGGAGCAAATGTGCATGCCGCCCCCTAGTGGTCCTCCTTGTGGAATACAGATTTTACCCAAGTTCCTTAGGTAAAGATGATCGTGGAAATGTCCTTGAGATAAGTCATTCGTGAATCCTTTCATCCAGTGCTATATACTGTTGCCTACCCCCATTGCATGCAAGTCGTCATCTCATTTCTTTTTTAATTTGGAAGAGTGGATTTCTTCATACATCTCTGATATCCTAAAATCAAATTCATCCATTTATTAAGCATCAAAAAAATATATAACTTCTTCCTTCAAGAAGATATATTCCAGTAAAAAGGCACAATAGTTTTTGCCCAATATGCGCCTTGAACAATATTAGAACCTGAGAGTATGTCAGTGAACAACAAGAAAAAGCAGTCACTATATTCAAGGAGCTTATATTGTAATAGAGACAAATAAATAGGAAGAGCTAATTTTATATTGTGATAAATTCAACAGAGGGAATTAAAAAAAAATGGTGTGTGACCCAGAGTAATCATGGAAGACCCTCAGAAACAATAGTGGACTGAAATCTAGAACGTTCTTTGTGAACAACCAAGGGAAAGCATTTTAGGTAGAGGGAATACAAATGAAAAGTCTTGTAAGTGGTAGAAAACTTAGCCAAATTTCTGAACATAAAGGAAGCCAGATTAGAAGAATCACAGAAGAAGAGATTTGCATGTGGGAACATTAGAGTGGTAGGTGGTAGAGGATTTGAATTTATTTTAAATGCAAGGAGGCAAAAGGAGTTTTAAGTATGAAGTGACATGTGATTAGTAGAGAGAGAAGTGTTGTGGTTGAAAAACCAAGACAGCAACCCTGATACACAGAACTTCCAGCTATAGATATCAAATGTACAGAAGAATTATTATAAATGATTAGGCTTACCATCCACTGTCAAGTCTTAGGTAGGATTCAGGGTCTTGGTTTTCTCATCTGTAAAATGAGAGCAAACTTTCGGACCCAAGAAATCTCCTTCCTATTCCGTTTCACTTATAATTATTAGTAGAAGACAAAGCCTTTATCTTGACGTAGAGTCTTACTGTTTATAACAATATTTATAACTTCTTCCATGAGATGGCTGGTGAATGCATGTTATATCCAAGTTTCCCTGCTTGCTGGTCAAAGGTCAAAGGGTGGAGGAAGAGCCTACAAATGCAAAAAAAAAAAAAAAATAGGATAATCAGAAAATTATTGCCAGTTTTTAAAAATATTTTCATTTAGGTTTGGGAGAGGAAAATTAATTAATAAGAATTTAGTATTCCAGGATGGCAAGGTGATGGGGCAATGGTGATGATGGTGTTGTCAGTAAGTGAGCAAAATAATGGGGCGCCTGGGTTTCCCAGTCAGCTGAGTGTCTGACTCTTGATTTTGGCTCAGGTCATGATCCCAGGGTCATGGGATCAAGCCCTGTGTCAGGCTCTGTGCTGAACTCTCCCTACCTCTGCCCCTCTCTGTCATTCGTGCTCTCTCTCAAAAAAAAAGAGTGAGCAAAATAATAATGATACCACTTTTAACAATAATAATGATAAAAAATAATGCAGTTAAAGAATGTGAGATTTGTTTAAAGAATTGGAGATTGCAGGGGAAATAGAAAATGTCTGTTCCAAGTGTAATACTCTGTGTGTATACATTCCCCCTACCTTTTTTTTTCCCCCCAGATTCACAATACCTAACTTGCCGAATGCAGAACTGCACGGAGGCCAACAGAAATAAACCTTTCCCAGGCTACATTGACCCAGACTCTTTGATTGTCCAGGATGATTACGTGTTTGTTCAGGTATGAACGATCCACTTCTGTTGATTGTCTCAGATGTTTCTCCTTCCTGCTTCTGTCCCTAATGCAGCCTTCTATGCCTGCTTACACTCCCTGGAGGGTAAAAAAAAAAAAAAAAAAAAAAAAAAAAGAAGGAAAAAAAATCATTATCTTTTTGACAAAAGGAACATTACGAAGTGTCAAAGCTTCTGCCAACAGAATATTAATTTGCCCCTTGAGCAGCGTCTGGAGGACCTATCAACACGTGGTCATGGAGGCACTGCTTAGAGTATAAATTTTGTCTCCAGAATGATGCGCACTTCTGTTCACCTTCTCTGCCTTCAGGGAGACTGAGCAGATATGTCAGCCTCTTTCTATCAGAAGAGGCAGCCAGTCAGCCTGTTCCTCAATACTTACCTTAAAAATAGAGAAACAGATGGGAACAGGAAGCTGTGGGGTGGCGGGAGGTGGTAGGAGGCAGAGGCGAGGTGGAGAGTAATCAGCCATTATTGTCATGCACTGACTGTGATTAGGAAAAAAGTGGAGGAGATGTAGGCAGTCAGGCTTTTCTCTCCTGAAGAGAGTGGGAAACCTTTTGAGGTAAAGTGGTTAGAAGAGACAGAGAGAGAGTATGCTCTGCTGCTTTTCAGCATTTAAGAAAAATTTTAGGTTTCTCTGGACAGTGATTTATTTAGTTAAGTTTAGACAGACTTTACTTATTGCTTCCCAATGTAAGAATGACAAAGGTACAATTGCTAAATACTTACGTGTGTGTATACTCTATTTATATATATTACATATATTTGTTTTTACACACATTATATATATATACATATACACACAATTTCACTATGATTGAGACACATTCTTAACACTAATATATTTATTTGGACAAGAAATAATTCAGAACATTCAATCTCCTGTTTTGAGGAAGCAAATGTTCAAAATGCACAACATCAACTTATGTACTCTTAAAATGTTTCACAAATGATTATACATGCACACACTTCATTTTTTTGTTGAGGAGATGAGTAATGAGTACTCTGATAACTTCAGCATCAAATTATCAAGCTGCATTAAAATGGTTACATGTTTTGGTTCTATCTATAATTCATTTCTCAATCACTGTTTCTCCCAGGAACCTTTTGTGTTTTCTAATAATGATTCATAATCCATATATATGACTTAACAATGAGAATGAATTCTGTATTTAAAATGTCATGTATTTTCGACCCATGACACTGTGAACATGACCTTGTAACCCATCACTAGGGCTAAGAGGTGATCTGGCCCAGTCACGGTGAATAAGATAACTTACCAGTCATTTCTGTATGTGTCTGATGGGCCTTCCCCCACAGCATTTGTTGACACAATCAGAGTATGCAAACTCCAACTGATACTTACATGGATTAAAAGTGGCTCCACCAACTCATAGAAATAGGGACTAGATGGTCCTCGCCAGAGGGTGTGAAGTAGGGAGATGTTTGTCAGAGGGTACACATTTCCAGCTATTGAATAAGTTCTGCGGATCTAATGTATAGCATAGTGACTATAATTACCAATATTGTCTTCAATTCTCGACAGTTATTAAGGCAGTCGGTTTTACATGTTTTCACTACACACAAAATATCATAATTAAATGAGGGGATAGAGGTGTCAACTAACCTTTTTGTGGTAATCATTTTGCAGTATATACATGTATGAGATCATCACATTGTACATTTTAAAGTTGTCTATCTTATATGCGAATAACATCTCAACAAAGCTGGGAGGAAAACAGTGGCTACAAAGGAGAGAGAGACTGACAGTGGAGCCGTTGACACTCCACTAAATAGTGCTCATGCTGGGGTGGAGACTGCACCTCTTCTTGACCTCCCTCGCACCCATGGGGTCCACTGGGCTGTATGTGCTGGACAGACTTGGAGGAGGTAACTCGGAGTTCTCTTCTGGGAGCTAGAGATCTATAATGATATTGGACCATGATCCTGGCTGGCATTCCATCTAATGTGTCAGCAGCACTGCTGTGTATGAGACCTACTCACATTCATCGATGTGATCGCGTCAAATGGAGTTCAGCGCTCAGAGATGAGAGGCTCCAGCTCTGCCACTGTTTAACCTGGGCCATTTCCTTCTGATAGGGCATAGGGAACTGTTTGCATGGCCATAGTCGTGGGCTGGATAGTTGGGGACTGCTGATGGACGTTAAGCCAATATACTCTGAGGCTTGTATCATTAAAAACACAAAAGAAAAGAAAAATAACAAAGAACTAAAACTGGTTCCTTGTTTCTGAGCCCCAGGTGCAAATCGAAGAATTGTATGTTCATCCAGTGGGTTAGGTTGGGCCTCAGACCAATTCACTGCACTGTATATGTTGTTTTTGAATGGAGCGCTAGTTCTTTGCACTTGTCCACCATAGTCATTTACACTGCTGGGTTGGCAGCTACTCCCTTCCATTCCTGACTGTTGTTCTAGGGCCTGGAACTATTATAGTAGCTCTTCTTACAACCCTTGTGTTTATGATCCAGCTGACATCAGGAGGACGGCCACATTACTACGTTTCCTACCGAAGGAATGCGTTTGCCCAGATGAAGCTACCCAAATATGCTTTACCCAAGGTATGAACTAAATGGATTTCTACATCTTAGTATTTTCTCCAATTTACATATTCTTGCCCTCACCCCGTTCCCAAGGATCCTTTCATCTCTCAGATTCATTTCTCTCTTCTCACCCCCCATGACTGCTTTTCAAGTTCTCCCTCTCCCTCCCTCCTTCCCTCTCTCTCTCTCTCTCTCTCTCTCTCTCTCTCTCTCTCTCTCTCTGGAATTCTTGCTATAGGAGCATCTAAATAAATTGTTAACTGATTTACTTTTACTTTTCAAGAAATACGTATTGGTATTCTAGCAAGACAGAAAATGTGCTTTAGATATTATGTCAGTACAATAGATGTGACACATTTCTATCCCATTTTATTGTAATTAATTATTGAGAGGTGGTGCATCTATACGGCATCCAACATTTTGCTTTCTATCTCAGTAGAACTTACGATACTGACTGTCTTTAGAGTTCTGAGGTACAGCTAATTTTTTGGACTTTCCCAAAGACGTAGTCCTTTGAAAATAATGACAGACAGAAGTTAAAGACTCTCAACTGCTGACATCCCTGGGCTCTTTCCGGAAACACTGAAGAACTGCGTTAATTTGGAGCGCCACCTAGTGGAGGTCAAACTGACTTGGGAGCTCCAAGCTGTGGATTTGTGGTCTGAAATAGTTAATGCTTTGGGCCTTGATGTTAGAGCAAGGGAGGTATGTACAGCTGTATGAAGGGGGCAGTGTAGGTTTAAATATAGTTGTAGCTCAGTTTTGAAAACTTTGGGTTGGACAAAGAACATAGAGAGCTTTTTTCGACTGAGTTTTCATGACTCTGTTTTTGTCTGTGACTTTGCAGTATGTTATCCTGGCCCAACATCAGCTAGCTGCCAGGGAATCATGTCATAGACACAACACAAGGTCACTGCAAGTCTCTTCTTCCAGGACAGTAAATGGTAGCCAGTTGCTTTGGCTTCTCCAGGCAGAATTCTTCTTGGCCATCATTTTGGCTCTAAGTATGACAGTAGTAAGGTGGGCTGAGACAACCGTGTCGTGATAATAGCACACTTAAATAACACCGTTGACTCCATGAACAATATCCACGTTAGTAGTTATTTTTATTTCCAGCCACTAAGAGATTAATGACAGTGGTAATTGCCTGGAACTATATTTCTGTGCTTGTATACATTTAAACGCTCCTTGCTCTTGATTTGGTTTAAAGTATTTTACAAAAAGACAAGCTACAACTTTGGAGTTGTGCCTTGGATGAGACTTGGGGAAAGTCCATATGTAAAATTAGATCTGAGTGTTGTTAAAATTACCCTGGATAATCTTTTAGGAAGGTCCAGGAGGGATATGATCATGCCTCCTCAGTAAGTCCAGCAGAGCCATTTGGGTTTTTTTCCCCCTTGAGTGCTGAAATAAATTGTTACTTCTTTGATCAGCAAATGTAGTAGTTAGCTTGCAAGATTTACACTTTTAAAAACAAGAATTAAACTCAATGCACGAAGATTCTCTTGCTCAAGACGCATGTGGGAATTGAGAGCAAATCAAGAAGCAGCAGATGTGAGTCTCTCATCTTGTTCTAGCTCCTGGGAATATACCCTGAGTAGAATAAGTCTGGGCCAAACCAAATGCTGTTTGCAGCAAGGCTGAGGCCAGCGCTCAACTCTCCTGAGCTCCCAAACTAACATTCTTCTCCTGAAATAAATTAACAGCTTATTATTAGAAGTTAGCAGATCCTCCACAAATTTGCCTATACTGGAGATCCATCAAAAGAAAAAGTCCCATGGACCGAAGAGCCCCAGAAGTGATAGTTTAAAACTAAAGAAACATCAGACCCATCGCTGGAATGTTAGGAAGAATGCATACTTGGCATTGTTTGTTCATAGCCATCACATAGATATTGCTGTTGACAGTTGCCCCTGGTGACATCTAGCCAGTTGGACTTTGAACCTGAATCTGCTGTCTTTCCCCTCTCCTTGCTATCCCACATGAGCATGCTCCATTACTAGCCTGAGTGAGATATGAGAGTAGAATGCAATGATTAATTTAGCTTTTCCCAGAAAAATAGGAGTCAGTACAGCAATTGAATGTATTATGTGGTCCAGGCAGATGTTTATTTAAGGCAATGAGATGCCTCATTACAATCCCATTACACCTTCAAAGAGAAGCCCCAGCTCGGGTGGAGTGGTCTTTGGGAAAAGGTGCACGTATTTAATGGCCTTCTATCAAAGCCACGGCTGCCTTTGCTGGAAAGGAACAAAGCTTCATGCCCAGCAAAGGCATCGAGACAAACCAGCACTTTCATGTTCAAATTTTCTGTCATCATCCACTGCTATTTTATCAGCTCTTGAAAGACTATGGTTACCCTGAGCTGTGTTAATAATAATAGTAAGAGTAATAATAATAATAATAATGCTAATGATGACCAGAGAAGGGGATGGGGAGACTTTAATGTTGCTGCTGCTATTAAAAGCAAGAAAGCCCCAGACTAGGAGACATAGTGAAGGTCTCCTTCCTTTAACTTACTTGGAGTTCATTCTGAGGCCCTCAAGTGAGATAAACGAGGCAATACATATGAAAGTGCTTCAGGCACTTTGGAGGACAGCTACTCCATAAAAGCAAGGTAATATTATTATCAGTATAGATCTGGTTGTCTGTGTGGTGGAAGATCGATGGGACCCAGGGCATGGGCAGAGGCTGTTTGATTCACAGAAGGAGGCCTAGATTCTAGACCTACATCGGTCACTAATCTGCTGTGAAACCGTGGACTGACTTATCAATTTCTTTCTCTGTTTTTTGTTTGTTTGTTGGGTTTTTTGTTTGTTTTTACATTTTTAAAATAAAATAAATGTTACTCTGAATCAAATATCCTTGGCATTGAGGGGCACACTTGTTGGGATGAGCACCAAGTGTGTTGTATAGAAGCCAATTTAACAATAAATTATAGTTTAAAAAAAACAAACATCCTTAGAGATGCCTCATGAAAATTTGCTCTATGATCAAATAAGTTTAAAAATATAAGGCAAAATCATTCTGTGTTCCTTGCCTTGAGAGTAATGGCAGGTCACTGATATCAAAGGCTCTAGGATATCCTTTGAGCAAGAAAACGATATAATTCATCATTAATCAAAACATTAACAAAAGGATCCACTTTCTAAAAATAGTCTATTAAAACCTAACAATGCTGGTGTCCTATGGAACAGACTCGGAAACACTCTACGAGAAGATCTCGAAGGCTACTTCTTGTCTAAAAGTTTGTGCCATGGTAAAACCATTCACTATAAAGTGTCATTCTGGTAGAAAGAGCATATTTACTTAATAGAGGAGAATGTAGGTGTGAATTAAAAAGAAAGATGACATTTAAATGTCAGATCTTTCCATTCCGATACCTAAGACCAACATCATTTCTTAAGTCTCTTCAATGTAATTGGATTATAGGGAGAGAAAGATCTGATGTTGGCCCTTATCTAGAGATGGTCATTTGAATTTATCATTGTTACGTGACTGGTTCTCTGTGTGACCGTGAGGCACTGTGTTTTCGTTCTGAATCTACAAAATAAAAATTTGTGTGAGTTAGTAGAGTACACTTGATGCACTCTATCTAGTTCCTAGCATTTCTTGACAAGATATCTCTGGTGATGCAGACTTCAGAGGTTCACCAATACACAAATTCACTCCAAGGTACAGAGATGGGAAATAGGTATGTAAGGGCCAGATCTGTACTCCAGTATTGTAACATGAATTCAGGGAAGATACTTCATCTTGCTGATGAGTGGACATAAATTAGGAGTAGTAATTTGAGGATTCCTAAATGCTAGAATAAGGATTTGGGTCTTTGTCCTTGAGGAAATGGGGAGCCATAGAAAGTTTGGCCCTCAGTGATTGAATGACCCTTGGGCTAATTTCCATAGTTAATCCCTTCCATTCAAAAGAAGCAAATACTTCCATGAACCACTTTTTATTTTTTTTATTTATTTATTTTTTTTTAAATGTTTTATTTATTTCTAGGAGAGAGAGAGAGAGACAGCATGAGCAGGGGAGGGTCAGAGAGAGAGGGAGTCACAGACTGAAACAGGCTCCAGGCTCTGAGCTGGCAGTCAGCACAGAGCCCGACGCGGGGCTCGAACCCACGAACCGCGAGATCATGACCCGAGCGAAAGTCGGACGCTTAACCGACTACGCCACCCGGGCGCCCCTTTGAACCACTTTTTATTAAGTATACTGGTTAGCATCCCAACATTTGCAGTGGAAAAAAAAAGGCCACATCAGCCTGGCTTAATCCACAGAGGGGATGTAAGGGCTTGTGTCACTGAAAAGAGCTGGCACAATTAGAACACATGCTACATGCCAGGCACTATAAATGTGTAACACTTAGTGACTGATATAACCCTCATAGCTCCATGGAGGACACACTGTTATCTCTGTTTTACAGGTAGATATGCTAGGACCTAGAGTTTAGTTCACACAGCTAAGTCACACAGAAGGATGATCTGAACTCAAGTAGTTTTACTTCAAAGTCCATTCTTTTAACCATTTTATTCTAGTGTTTTCTCTAACTGAAAAGTTTACAGGTGGGACAGGCTTCTTAGCTGTCCACAATCAAAGACTCAAAGATATTCACAGAATGTGGCCCGTCTTCCTTTTGAGTCTATTTTTTCAGGACTGTTTTTGTCCCCTGCCTCTAAGATATATCTCCATCAGATCTATACTCATTTTATTTTATTTTATTTTATTTCAAATTCTTACAGTAAGAGATTTTTTTTCCTAATAATGCCACAGTCACTTTAAAATTGTGTCTTACTGACTTTGTGTTACATATGCATCACTGATCCCACCACTGTGGTCAGGGACATTGAATATTCAACATGCTCATTTCTGGTACTGAGAGTGGAAGAAAGTAGCAAGGACTGAGTACAGGGAGAAAATTTCTCTGAAAGCAACGAAGGTGTTTGTCAAAGAAAATCAAACTACAGTTATCAGAGGAAACGAGAAATAGACATTTGACTGATATAAGCAATGGCCAACTTCCATACCAAACATAAGTGTGCATTATTGACCCACAATGAATTAATGGGAAAGATTCATTTTTGGCCTCCCACTCTGTATTCTTTTTATAGAAATGTATCAAACTCTAGAATATGGCATGTGGTACTTAGGGGTATGAAGGAATATGAAGCTCTTTGCATAAAGACATCTCCCTTCTGGGGTCATGGGACTTCACTGTTAATCGCAGGAAAGGAGGGAAAAACTTGTCCCTATACATTTAGAGCAGAGTCCAAGCTGAATTGCCTTTGTTTGATTGCGAGAACATGGGCATATATTATAGTGAGAAATTTGAGTTAGAAGTTAGGTAGAATTTTCTAGCACTGGAATTCTTGCCAAAGAGGATTGAAAAATCTCCAGAAGCTTCTCAAGGATGAAGGAGGATCCATCTGGGAAGATTTGAGTCTTAAGCTACCCAAAGGCCAGAAGTCTTCCCATATTGTTCTTCTGTCTTTGTGCTTCCATATAATTCTGGTTTGTTTTGTTTTATTTCCATTTTTGGTTTTTGAGGGTTAAACCTGTGTCTGCCACCTTGGGCAAAAAAGGGTGAAAAGCCACCAAGAGCATATGCACAGGAGACAGCAAGCCTTGGTTTATGTCACCCTCCCCCTGAATATCTGCTTCTCTGAGTTCTGAATGGGGAAGAAAGGATTTGGAATTCCCACCCCCAGGGACATCTACTCAGTGCCTCCACATTATCTTTGCCTTATTTTTATCTTCCAGAACTCCCAGGGTCTGAAGAGGTCATCAGTTAAGCAGTCTACTTTTTTCCCTCTCTCACTTAAGGTTTTCCACTGCACTTCTCAGAGGAAAGGTTTAGATAAACTGCCAAGTCCTTGAGTACTCATTGACTCAAAGACTAGTGCATTGAGGTTCTCAGGTGAACGTTTTCCTCATGGTCTTCTGGGAGTTGCTGAGCCTTGGGCAGTGTTTCTCAAACTTTAACATGCATAAGAATAAGGCATAAATGTTTCAGATTCTGTGTCTCCCTCTCTCTCTGACCCTCCCCTGCTCATGCTGTCTCTCTCTGTCTCAGAAATAAATAAAACATTAAAAAAAAGAATAAGGCAGAGGTTTTATTTAAGTGCAGATTTTTTATTCAGTAAGTGGGACTGAGATTCTCTGTGTCTGACAAGCTTGCAGGTGATGCCCATGCTGGTGGCCCATGGACCACGCTGAGAGATGTAGGGCTTGTCCATTTTCTCTCTGTCTCTCTAACTTTTCCTCATATTTGCCCCACATAAGCCTTCTGAATACACCATGTTTGTGCCTGGCAAGTATATCAAGGTGGCTGATTCTCCGAAGTCACATTTGAGAAAGTATTCTTCAATTATCTAATGAAGTAATTAAATTATAAGTGGGCTGCCAAGCATTTCTTATGACCTTACTGCTTAACTCCACGAATGCCAAAGGAAATACATGGTTAACACTAACCTAATCATGTATTATTTCACAAATATACAAAAGGAAAATTTCTGTCTTCCACTACAGTGCCTATGTGCCTATCCTGGTAGCCTTCATTACATTCCCCTCTCTTTGGACACATGCTATATTAATATATGAACCTCTTCATCTTCTGTGTCTTTCTTCAGGACATGCACGTCATCAGCACAGATGAGAATCAAGTGTTTGCCGCAGTGCAAGAATGGAACCAAAATGACACATACAACCTCTATATCTCAGACACCCGTGGGGTTTATTTCACGCTGGCCTTGGAGAATGTTCAGAGCAGCAGAGGTCCCGAGGGCAACATCATGATTGACCTCTATGAGGTATGTCGCAAGGCATATGTAGTCCTCAGCCCCTGTAGTGCCTGGACTGGAGGTAAAGGTCTACCGTTGGCTGTTGCCTTGATCATCGTAATTACTAGTTCCTTACATGGCCTCATTTTATTTGGGAGAGGAAGGGATTTGTAGAACATTTTTATTGCTTAATTTTTAATCCACAGAACACCTGTGGGAAGAATTCTTTTTTTGACAAAGTTTACAGGCCATGAAGTCTCAGAAGACCTAGAGAGAGTGTCTGGGGAAGCAGTCAAATAATTGAAAGGTTTGAACAAGAGCGATCCTAATGTGAAATTTGAAACTAATCTTGAAGGATGGACAGGGTGTCAGAATGTGAGCAAAGGGGTAGTAGACATGTTCCCTTTCTCTTTTAAGAAAGAAAGAGGGAGATAGCTCTGCATTGGATCAGAAGATGCTCCCTGTTGGACTTGAATACTTTTTTTTTAAGTGTTTGTTTATTTATTTGGAGGGGCAGGAGGAGGAGCAGAGAGAGAATCCCAAGCACTCTCAGCACTATCAGCACAGAGGCCAACTTGGGGCTCTGTCTCATGAACCGTAAGATTATCACCAGAGCCTAATCGAGTCAGATGCTTAACTGACTGAGCCACCCAGGGGCCCTGGACCTGAATACCTTTCGAATTAGGTCACATCCATTGACTGACTAATTGTCATCCTCTCAGAGGGCCAATGAGTGAGACAAAAGTGTAGGTCTTACTCTCCTAAAAGGGAGGGGGGGAGGGAGAGACAAAAAACAAAATTTACCATATATCCCTAGGAGAACTATGGCCCTTTGTTTCTCAAAATGACCAAGGTACAAAATAAAATCATATATGTTAGATCACTTAGCTTTCTTGATAAATATGAACACTTAAATTGCCATTTAAAGCACAGTGAGGTAGAAAGCTGCTACTTGGGGATGGATTTTAGCCATTTGTCAGTCTTACCTTGCACTATGAAGGATTTACAATAGATTATAATGAGGCATTACAAAATGTATTCAGAATTTGAGAAATGCCTTTATCATATACCTATATCCTCCCTGAAAGAAAAAAATCTAAAACGGATTCAGGTATATACAGTCATAATGATGCTGTCTTTTGGTTGAGTATGAGTTCATAGAGTCAAGAGGTCGCTTAATATAACAAGAAGCAAGGGAATTATATCCAGTATATCAAAGAAAGGAAGCAGTTTCACTTAAGAAATTTAAAACTACTGTTGTTATTCCTTTTCATGCTGTCTACCCCTCTTCTCCTTTAGGAGCTCTTGGGGATTTTCTTCTAGTATCTAAACTACTCTGTATGTATAAATTCATGTTAACAAACTGTATGTCCCATTCAGAGTGCGGACTTAGCAGGGACATAGTTTGTGTGTATATATTTAGAAAAATGAACTGAAAACTTTTTTTTACACATTCACAAGTTCTTTCAACTCATTTCCTGCCCATGTTTCAGATAAATATAGTATCATATAGCTCAGCCTCAAACTGAACGCGTATTCTGAAAAACATTTACATATTCTGGTTATTTAGCTTCAAATTTGTGTTGCAAAAATTTGTGATTTAAAGTGTAAATTTTGGAGTCAGGTTGACTGGATTTAAATCCTAGCTATACCATGTGTATGTATTCTAGAAACAAAGCCAATAATTTCCAAGCCTCAGTTTCCTTGTTTAAAATATGGAGATATACATAGTATCTACTTGATAGGATTTCTCTGAGTGTTACTTATCTTAAGCTTAACATACCATGAAAAGTACCAAAAATAGATAAATGCTCAACAAATTATAGATAGCATAATTAATATTATAGCCCAATGAGTTTCAGCCCCAATGCAGTGTTCTATTCTTACAGTCTTAACATCTACCCATATTGTTTAAATGTTCAACACATTTCTACTATTTTGGATCTCTGTTGATTCCTATATTGCATTTAGCATGGCCATAGTAATTCTTTGGCAACAACTAGTTGTCTCCTTATAAACAGGCATGAATTGGCACATTTCTTTCCTCATTTGTAAACATCCTACAAACATTTAAACTTTAAATGTGTTTTGTTGCATGCATTTTCATGCCTTGATCCAGCACTTACAATGGAAACATCTTGCTTCAGGAGACTGATAAGAAATCAAAGCAGCTGCCCCGGATCAATCACCCAGTTTGCTTCCTGGTCTTGACTTTGACCCTTTCTCACAAAAATATTTTCTGATTTTTAGGTTGCATGTTTTCCCTTTCTGATTAACTTCTCCCCTCTTTTCAATTCATTGTGGAATAGTGTTTGTTTGTTTGTTTGTTTGTTTGTTTTTGGGTTTTGTTTTTGGATAAATTCTGTCTTCTTCCAAAACAGAGACCATTTTAATTGGTTCCTTGAAGATGGAAAAGATGACAGCTTTGGACAGGAATGACTTTACAATGTTCTGTTATTTACACCCATTTTCATGAATGATTTTCTGAATTCAAACATTGCTAACAGGTATGGGATAAGAAAAGGAAACAGGGTGACTTCTAGACATGGCAAACCATTTCTTGGTTAATTCTTGTGTTTCCCCTTTGTGTCTCTCTTGCAGTTGACTCTCTGTAGGGAAACTGCTGGCTCTTATTATCCTCACTTTGAGCAGTGGTGTGACTGCATTATGTAAAGGTGTTCTGCATCCTGGGGCTGGGGAAGAAGAGTCTTTGGTTTTATTAGCCTGACAGTTCACAGCAACTTGCATTGAAATTGATGTGATCAGAACGGTGGTGCCGTGTCTGCTGATTACCTAGATAGAAAGAATATTGGCTGACAAGGAACCTGGCACAAATGTTCCTTAAATCTGATTGTTCTGGCTAGCAGGAAGCTGAAAGCCATCCAGCCTGAATTTCCCAGTAGAATTGCAATGGATGATGAGTGCTTAGAGATAAATGAAAAGTAAGAAAATCCATAAATGAATTAATAAGAAGCAGAGATGAGCAACAAATGAGGTAGGGGTAACAAAGATAGCATATGTGGAGTGCATGTCTGCTCACATTTGGGGGTGACTGAGGAGGATGGCATGAGTTCTTTGCTTGTCTGCTTCTGCATGCCAGCTACGTGCTGTTGCTGTTTGTTCTTGAAGCTGTTGCAGCAGAGGCAAACTGTGGCATGTATAGCGGTAGGGGTCTGTGTAACGAGGAGAGATACTGTTGATGAGTCTTTGTGGGAAACGCAAAAGGAAGCATGTTCCTCATTAAAATCAATCATTAGGTTCATATACACACATTAGAACCTTAAAACAAATGTGGCTCTGTCTGTCCCAGAGGCACATGTGTGTATGTGATGACATAGGAAATGTTGAGGATAAAGTCTTCCCTTCTTCCATGGTTTACTTACTGAAATGCTAGAAAATTCCATCAGTGTCACTTGGCCACTGAACATGGACCACATTCAAAAGAGTCAGGAGATGTGAACTAGGAAAGTTGTCCACAGAGCAAAAATGCTCGATAAGGATTTTTGTTGATGAAAGATCTTCATAACAATAGATAATTTTTCAGGGGCCAGTATGTGCCAGGAACTGTGTAAAGAACCTTCCATTATTATCTCATTCAATCCATATATTAACTTTATGACGCTAGGACTATAATTACTCCCATTTTAAACATAAGTAAATGGAGGCAGAAAGAGTGCAATCATCTTTGCAAGATTACAAAGCTAGTGGCAGAATTAGGATCTAAATGCTAGAGTATGCAAACTTTTTTTTAAGTTTATTTATTTTTGAGAGAAAGAGCATGAGCACAAGAGGGGCAGAGAGATGGTGAGACACAGAATCTGAAGCAAGCTCCAGTCTCTGAGCTTTCAGCACAGAGCCCAATGGGGGGCTCAGACCCACAAACCATGAGATCATGACCTGAAGTGAAGTCAGATCCTTAACTGATTGAGCCACCCAGGTCCCCCTAAAGTATTCAAACTCTTAACAGCATCTTATTTGTATCTTAGATTCGGGCTTGTATTTGATTATGGCCCAGCAATAGACATTGAAAGGTGGAATAAATAGTATTAGACTTGACCTAGAAGTAGAAGAAACCAGACAGAAAAAAAGAAAACAGTCTTGGAGAAAAGCCAACATAAACAGAATCTGTTTTATAGCTCTGGCCTGTTCACCACCTTCTGAACCACCTTAGTCTGTAGTTAGAGCTAAATTCAGGCAGCACCATCATGCGCATGCCTCCCAATTTTGTCTAGTGGATGTGTTTCTGTGAGAGAAGCCTAGACACAAGTGTTCTAAAATTCTGCCATTCCTGAATAGCACAGATGTCCAGGGACATCACGTGAGGAAGGGTAAGAGAGGACCGCATGCCTGATGGTGGCCAGAGCAAAAAAGACATGATGAGTGTGTCTGAGACATGTGATTCCTAGTGTATTCATCTCATGTGGATGATGAGAGGGGGTCTGACAGCTCTGGACAATATCCACCCTCCTCTGGGAAGGGAATATTAATTAATGATGATGAAGAGCACTTTGGCTTAATGGGCAATGACAGTTTATCCCAGCCAAGTGGAAAGGGCTGTGTTGGAAGTCAAGCCACCTGGCTGGCAAATTGGGAATACATAGAATGTGTGCATACATGAGTGAGCACAGTGGGCATCGTGGAAGACATAACCAATGAGCGGGGCATGTTCTATTGCACACTTACTGTCTTCTTCACATTATGAGTTCACCTCTTTAAAAGAGAAAGCTGAACAGTTGCGATGGTGTACTTACATGTTGATTTCTTAGGGAAAGGCTGCCTCTTACAATCCAGCATAGGAAGGAGAGAAGAAAAACGCTTTCCTATCCAGGACATATTTCTTACAGGATACAGAATGGATCGTCTGTATTTAAGGCTACTTACTTTCTCCTTAGGAGGAGAGTGTTGCCTGGTCAAGGCAATAGGGAAGAAAAGAACACTTGGACTGCCGAGTTACCCCTGGCCCCACTCCCCCAAATGTGTGTCTCTCCTGGCTGCAGTTCACTCTTTAGAATAGAAAAATATCCTGTCTCCAAAGCCCGAAGAAACTGTGGTCACAGATATGTTCTCTTTCTAACCACACTTGTTGATTCATATTTTTTATTCCCTCAAAAATTTTGACACTGTGGGTTTGTAATTCAAATCCAAGACAGAGAGGGTGGGAGGAATCATCTCCCAATCCTCAGTGGAGTCAGAAACCAGCAAAAACTCCCGTGCAAGGGTTTTCCCAGCTTAGCCTCTACGTGCAACCTGTGAAAGAAAGTTTGGGAGAGAAGAGCACCCTCTAGAGATGCAGATTAAAAAAACAAGGGAAGAATATAGGGTTCTTCAATAAAATCACCAGAGAAACCCAAGTCCCAGCACTGAGCACATTCTCACTTTCAAAAACAATCTGTTCAATGAATGTACAGTTGCTTAGACAGTCTAGGTGCTTTATCATCAGTGTTTAGAAGAATGCATGATAAATAGTTAATGTTCGAACAATATTTATTGAATAACCATTAAGGAAATGTACTGAAGAATGAATAAAAGGCAGCTTCCAGTAAGTATGATATTCCATCTATGATATTGCTCTCAGCACTACTCCCAAGATGACTGAGAAATTTGACGAAATAATAGGGCCCAAAGCATTAGCGTTTGGGCTCTCAAGTTAGACTGGAGTCCACCTATAAGGTTCTCTAGGGAATGATCTTAGGGAAGAGACAGACCCCATCCAAACTTTGGTTTGCATACCTGTGAAACAAGGACATCATTGACTCTGCCATTTCAAGTGCATGAGAGATTGATGGGCTTATGCTTACAAAACCTTTCATATAGTGCCTGATACTTCTTAAGTACTCAGTAAATTTGGGATAGTGTTATTGCTGTCATATCCTCTAATGCAGAATTCTTGCTACCTATTTTATTAAAAGCAAATAGGTCTTCTTATACAAAGTGACTTTTCTAATATTCATTTCTATAAGAGAGTATGGTGGACTGAATGATAATCCAAAAGTTACATCAGAGTGGGAAACTGTAGTGTGATTGCTGTCATAAGTGCTGATGACTATATCATGATAAGGAATGTAAGGGGCCCTTGAGAAGTTCGGGGGAAGGCTAATGCTCTTAAAAAGCTACACAGTTGTTGAGAGCCATGATATCATCTATATGGGACAAAATGGAGGTAAGAGGAAGAGTTGGGGACAGTTAGGATACAAAAGGGCTTCTGGTTTCTGGGAAGAGATCTTATGGAGCTGGGTTTTGAGATATTCATGGGCAGTAACATTCCAGGATATTATCCAAGGGAGTTGGGGATAGCCTATGTGAATAAGGGGAGCTAAGTAGGAGAAAGGAGGGTGGCATTCCGAAGCTGTCATCCTAGGGCATGATGAATGTGCCGACGTGCTTTGTGTTGGCTTGAGGTTTGAGCTGTAACACTTCATATTTGGAATCTAATAAAAATGGTATTTGGGCTCATATGATATTAGAGATGAAGAAATAATAATTAATTATCTTTGAGACTCCTGGTATCAGCTTCCCCATATGCGAGGCAAAGAAGGATAAGTGGCTTCTCGACACACTCAGCATTTTTGTGCAGAATTCAGAAAGGTAGAAAATGTAACAGGTAACTCCCAACAGTGAGCTGTGTCATTCCCACAGGAATACCTTCCTCAGAAACCGTGTCTGTGTGAAGGCACATCTTCCTCGGGACTATTAATTTTTCCTGTCCTGTTCCATCCCTCAGCCCGACCCCATTCCACACAAATAATCACATACTACAACTACTGAGAGAGGTTTTCTCACAACGTAAGTCCTCTCATCCTCAGCAGAACCCCGGACACAGTGTTGTCCACAGAGCTACACACACATTCCGTATTTGGGACACTAACACCACTCCCTTGGTTTCCAGATTGATATCCAAAGTAAAAGGGTAGCAGTTTCAAGAACTGCTGGATGAGACCTCACAAAACAGCCCTTGAGGAAAGTGCATCATGCATCGGGGTGCACCGAGGCACACAGAGATGGGCTTCTCGGGCTCCGAGCAAAAGGAACAGTAAACGAGCATGAGAAACTTAAGAGCAGGGCTGACCATCTCTGCACACCGGACCAAAGAAGCAATACAAATAAAAAAGACAGCACAAATGGGATTGGCACAGATAAAGTGCCTTGGCCACAAGAGGAAAATCAGCAGAGCCACTCCAGACCCACCCATTATTGTCACGCACTGCCTCTGCTTTGGCACATTTTTATTTCCCAAGATAAACCTGAAGGCCAGGCTGCCAAAGATGAATTGCAAAGCGCAGCTCTCCGCTCAAGTGGCATTTGATAATGCCAAGCAGTCGGGGGCCAATAAAGTCACTGCTTCTGCAAATCAAATGAACCAGCTCCTCAACACACATAACCCTGTTCTGACACTCTTGCCAAAAAAGGGAGAGGGCGGGAAGGGAAATGGGCAATGAAACTACTGGAATAGGTAATCATTTGATTCTTTTTGTACTTACTGTAACCTAGAGTGTCAAGTGGTTGAGACAGGTTGCTTCTCATGTATGAGTGTGCTGTGGAGGGACAACAGTTAGGACTTTGTGAAAATTCTGATTTATGAAATGTGATTTTTAAGGAACTGGCAGTTTACTTGTATTTAAATATTCAACAGCCTCTGGAACATATGCAAAACCAATATGGGGTTCCCTGGTGAGCGGTCCTTATGGAGCGGGCGTAGTGAGTAACTAAATATTATTTGTAATTAATGTATCATTGTCGGGAGGTACAGTGCTCCTCGAATTTATGTCTTCCACACTTGTTGAGGATCAACAATGCACGAGAAACTGTCTGCTTGCTGCCGACGGCCCTAAATGAGGTTTGTTTTCCTAAGTAGTTCAAAGTATTCCTCCTACCTATTCATGTATACCATTTATTTGCTTAACAAACTTGCCGTTCCAAAGGAGTACAAAGTTAGCCCAACTCTGAATTACCCCAGATGCCATATCAGCAGGTACAAACTAATGAGGTTGAGTGTGTCAAAAGCCAAGGTAAAACTGTACATATACTGTTGATTGAATCCCAGCCTCTTTGAGTTGATTCAGAGCTGTCTTTGTTAAAAGGTCATTGGAAGTCAGTCCGATCTGCATTTGAACCCCAACTCTGTGTTACTGTAAGCAATTAAAATTTGCCTCCACCTCCGTGTCTTCATCCATTGCTGTTAGGCAGGTCTGTAGTGAGTGCTGGACATTTTATATATAAAAAACAAACACTATGTTTTATATATGAAAACACTATGCACTGAGCACAGTGTTTGGTGGGTGGCACAGACTGATGCTGTTTTTTCACACTTTGGCTTTAAAATTTTCATATTATAATGTAAAGGGCCTGAGTTAAGTTAAATGAGCTCAGTTATACTTGTTAGCTTGTCCACTTACTCCCTGTCTGTGCTCTACAAAGCCATTCATTCGGTTTCATTCGGTTTCAGTTTCCTTATCCTCAAAATACGGCTGCCTATAACTACCTCATGGTTACCGCAAACGTTAAGGGAGATGGCCTGTGCCCAGTGCTGGAATGTGCTGTTCCATGCATTCAGACCTTTCTCTCATTGGCCCCCACTCTCCCTCGGTTGTCATAATTACAAGTAGAGTAAAATCAGTGTAAATGCATTTAATTAATACATTCTAAAACGCTTGAAAAATATGGTGCACACTAATGATTTGTTATTGTCAACTTACCAATTATTACCTCTTTCCCAAAGTACGGAAGAGAGAAGGCAGTCATATTGTCAGAGCCAAGGAATTAATAAGGACTGTTTATAGTGGGAACAAGGTGTTAGAGGAATGCAGGAGGGAATGGTTTGACAGTTTAGGGAAATCACTGCTTCTTTACATTTAAAAGCTATTTTGTTCAATGTATTTCAGTGGCTCAGTAGAGTGATCTTTTTTACGGAAAAAAGAAAGGGAGGAAAAAAAGCAATAGTATTTGGATCTTGAGCTTTAACTGATCTTTTTCAATTGCTCAAGGCTGTAAATAGCTCAATGGTTTAGACAGTTGTTAAGAGCATGATCTTTGGAGCCATAAGTTCTGAGTTAAAATTTCCGGTCAGCCACTTAACTGTGTGACCTTAGGCAGCATGACCTTGGAGAAGTCACTTTACCTAGATAAGCCTCAGTTTCCTCTTACATGAACTAGAGTAAGTGATACTTAGCCAAGAGGACTGTTAGAAGGATTAAATGAAATAAAGTATGTAAGTCCATAAAGTATGGATGCTATGCCTAACATAAAATTAAAGTAGTGCTATGTATGTATTATTTACCAAGCACCAGAACTAAAGCCCCTTATTTTAACTCTAGGCAACTCTGTGTCCCACAGTTGAGAGAATCCTTATACCTGAGCATTAGCACCTTTCCCATCCTCTCTCTCCTTCCTCCAGCTGAATTTGACAATCCTTTTTTTTTTTAAGTAAATAAATCTATCCCATCTCAAATTGATGTATTTTTCAGCCATGTCAATTTTTCCCAGGTAGCAGGGATAAAGGGAATGTTCTTGGCTAACAAGAAGATTGACAACCAAGTGAAGACTTTCATCACCTATAACAAAGGCCGAGACTGGCGTTTGCTGCAGGCGCCGGACACAGATCTAAGGGGGGACCCGGTGCACTGCTTACTGGTGAGTTTTCACTTCGGAGAGGAATGCTGCGCACAGTGGAGGGCTGGAAGTGGATATTAAGTAAGCAGATGAAGATGGTTCCGGGCTGTGTTGCTCACTTGGTGAACAAAAGGGGACAGGGCTGGGAGGGAAGGCAGAGTATGTAGGAAAGTGTCACTGTGCTGCCTTCTGTTTGGGCCAAAGAGATAAGAGGGCATGAGTAAGTTCCTTGTTCACTTCAGGGATTTTGAGTTGTAACCAGGTTCTGATGAGGACCTCAAACTGTAGTCTAAGGGAGAATGTGATCATTTCCATCTGCGGTGGGGAGATACACCCTTACTTTTGCATGAATGATTTGTTATGTGGCCAGTGATGCATGAGTTCAGCTGCAGAACTGATGAACTGACAACAGAATTGTGTAGGTGTGTTTTCCAGCAGAGGTGTTTATTCATATTTTCAGAGGAGTTTATACCTCAAACAAGGGATAAGAACCGCTGATTTAAACCCCCATTCGTACCCTTTAGAATATGTTCCATTCGTCTATGGCTCATTCTGTATAGCTGGGAATGGTAAACCATGGCCTGTGGGGCAAATATGGCCCTCCACTTATTTTGCTAAATAAAGTTTTACGGGAATGCAGTCATGTTTATGTATAGATTGACTCTGACTGCTGTTGCTCTCAATGACAGACTTGAATAGTTGTGGCAGAGACTGTATGGTCCATAAAGCCTATAGTATTTACTATCTGGCCCTTAAAAAGAAGAACAAGAAGAAGAAGAAGAAAGTTTACTGGTCCCTTCTTTGAAGTAAAGGTTTCTTTTAGTTGCCTAATACTTGACACTGTGTAGCTAGATCAGTATGAATTTATTTATATATTTGATTATAGGAAGGTGTCCAAGAGAAGGATCAGAGCTGAGTCTTGCCTTCAGGGAGTCTGCAGTCCACTTAAGAGACACTAGATTAATAAATGAGAGATTATAGGGTCACATCACACTCCTTACAGTGGTTTTGGTGCTGCCCCGTGCCTGATACGTGGCTAGATACTGAGTGAATGAAGAAGGAAGAGAGGAAGAGATTAATTGCAAAACAAACTATAATTAAGTGCTAATTTCTATGAAACAATTTATAGAAAGGAGAGATCAGTATGTAAACCAAGAGAGGAGACTTAGTTTTAGTAAGAGAGTTTTACATATACACGCGCGCGCGCGCGCACACACACACACACACACACACATCAATGTTTACAGTCTTCATACAGTTCTCACTTGGGTGTTACCCACACTCAGCTTGCTTTGTCCCAGGACGTCTGAACAGTTACTTTGCAGGTTCATCTCATACAGCTGTAGGCGGATCACCCTTGTACTGGAGAAGATGATAGCAGCCACAGCTTGACCTTATTAGTTGCAAAGGATATCACACTTGTCACTGTGCATCAGGAAAGCAGGCTAAAATTCAGCCTCCCACTCAGCTTCTATCCTTATTACTGGCAACTTATGGGGGGAAACAAGCCAGTTGTTACAATAAGTAAGTCCACAAAGCCAGTGACAGAGTAAGTACGTGTAAAAGTTATTCATTGAATACCTATTCTATACAAAGCGTTCATTGTTCAGTAGCTTTTTTAAAAAACAGAGCCACCTTCCAAGTTTAGCTATTTCAAGTCAGGGCATTGTGGTATTTAGCCAAAGAAGCCTGGGATGCACCAGTGCCTTAATGTGGTCCACTGCCCCACCATGCATTTTGGAGATAAAATGCTCATGAGAGAGAATTAACCATATCACCTGATGGCGCTGGCCTTTGACCACTCTTGGATCGTAAATAAGCGGTTGGAAATGCCTCTGAAGCACTTAGTGAAGAGCTCCCTGTTCCAACTTCAGCCCAGTTTTAGGAAGTCTTATGGCCATGCCACCAAAATAAAAATGCAGAGTCAACTGGTTTACCCATCTCCGCTGGGACTGTTCCAATCTAAGGCACCATCACTTCTCACCTGCCCTGGAGTGAGAGGCTCCTGACTGGTCCTCCCAGATCTACCTGGCAATCTCTTCTCCACACAGCAACCAGTGTGAGCTTTTCTTTTTCAGTCCAACTTTAATGAGGTAAAACATACATAGAAGATACCCATGTTAAGAGTATAGGTTGACAGATCTTGGCACATGTTATGTACCTATGTAACCACTACCACAGTCAAGATGGAATATTTTCATCACCCAAAAATTCCTCTCTGTTCCTTTGCAGTGAGTTTTCACACCCCCGGTCCTAGACAACCATAAACCTGCTTTTATTTACTATAGATCAGATTTCTCTTTTGTCAGATTTTATGTCAATGAGATCAACTTGAGCTTTAAAAATTAAGATCTTGCTCTTAAAGTTTCTAATGACTTTCTAATTCAGGTAGAATAAAGTTCAAGTATATTACCATGACCTGCCAAGTCTCATATGGTCTGGCCCCTGTTTTCGTCTTCTACTTGTTTTCCAGTCTCTCTCTCCCTCCTTCCCTACATAGGTAATCCTTGCCGGATTACCTTAATCTCAGAGGCTTCTTAAGTTTTCTCTAAGAGTTGGCCCAACTCTTCTTTATCCAGGACCCTTCTCAAGAAGTTCTCTGAAATCAGCACATGGGTGTTGACTCTCTTGTCCATCTTCCCCTGCTCAAATATGAGCTCCATGAGTATAGGAATTGAGCTGTCTTTCTGGCCACTCCAAAGAATCAGCTCAAAAATATGCCACACGCTAGGTGTTCAGCATGTGCTGTTGCTATGGATATTGTCCAAAGTCGATGCTCCACTGACACGTGTTGGTTGAGTTTCACATTTAGACTTCAGTGGAAACTTCTCCTTGCCACTGATAGCCACACTGAGGGATTCACAATATCCATCTCTTGAAATTCAGAGGCCTAGGTTGACCCCACAGTTAACAAAATCAGTAGGCTCATTAAGATCCCAGAGAGATGAATTAATGGGCTCTAAATGTATGGCACCCAGGAGTCTTTGGCCTGCCTCCGTCATTAACTCTCTTTGAAGTAGTTTCAATCTGAGTTTTAGAAAACACTCTGAGGAAAGGAAATGGCAGAGGGAGTGGGGGAGCAGGGACCAAAATCACTTATAAAAATCTGCCAAAAGCACAAAATAGAAAAGAAAATCTTTGAGCTACAGGAGACCCAGACTGTTAAGAACCTTCTTTATGCGTGGGTGCTGGTGGCAGAGAGGAGATAAAGAGTGATTTTAGATTGTGAGTGCTTGGAAGGTGACAGTGTCACCAAAAGCACAGCCTAGTGATTAGACAGGAGATTTTCCAGCAGGACTGTTACAAATGTGGAACAAGTTCAGAATTATAGCCCCAAACGGAATGTTCCTGGTAAAATGTATTCTATAGAAATAAGACATCCAGAGTAATTTGGGGCTGTATTTTTAGGACTTTTCAACTGACTGCCTGTAGGGCTCAGCTAGGATTTCTTTTCTCTGAAGAGTGCATTGTACACTTAGATGGGGTATTACAGGTCATGGTCCACCTGCCACCAAAGCCTCAGAATTGGGTTCCCAAGAGGCGAGATGTGAACTGAGCCTGTGACAAATCCTTGGCTCCCTACGGAAAGCACAGTGTTCTGTAGAGAGAGGCTGTGACTTCTTTATGGATTCGATTGACAGTTCTCTAGTGAAGCTAAGCAGCCAGCTGCCCCCAGGAGATTCTTGACTCTACTTCCCGCACCTTTGCACTGGCTATGACTCTCGTGCTGTGCTGGATTGAAATGCAGCTGAATGCCCCAGACTCGGCCTGTTGGCCTAGGGCCCTCTCTCTCCTAGGCCGTTGACTCTTTACTAAAAGTCTAATGGATTTCTAGCTCCCGTTCAGGGTCATAAATAGCATAAATGTGTGTGTGCAAAGGGTGGATCTGGAGGGTACTGTTTAAGATTTTAGCTGCTGCCTTATTGATAAAAGGTCTGATTTGGCTTTTCAGTACAACAGTAAGATTAGGAGCCCTGGGGATAAGGGTACCATGAATATGAGACCCAAAGGTTGTCAGTGCAGAGGCTGGGGAAAAGAGGAAGTGGAATGAGATGCTGCTTGACTCTTAAATAATTTAACATTTTTTTTTAACATTGATTTAATTCATGGTGGGGGGGGCATATCTCCTGTCATTTAGTAATTTTCCACTGGCCATCCACAATGCTCAGAAGATAGTAGCTAGTTAACAGATTGGTTAAATCCAACAGACATTTATTGAGCACTTAGAGTGGCCAAAGGATTTTGTTGATTAAAATAAAAAATAAAAGAATAAGGTGAAAGAAATGTAACTGGGACCTAGAGGTCCATGATGGGCTTCAGAAGTCTGTGAATTCCTGAAATTGAACATACAGCTCTGTGTGCATATGCCTTTGTGTAATTTTCTTTGGGATAGAGTCCTTAACTTGCCTCAGATCCTCAAAATCTGAACCTGATCCTGAAAAGATTAAAGACGAGAGATCTAGTTGCTCCTAGTATTGACCAGTTGATGATATGCCATACCGTCTTCTGACTGTGTGTGAGTAAAGATACAAAGGACAGTTTCCAAACATGTCTCCTGCACCTTGCGTTGCTTGCAAGTCAGTGGCTAGGTTATGGTGGTTTCACTGTACAGTTCTGTATTTTCTTAATGTGGAAAGATAAGAAAAATAGATGTCTTTATAACAAACTGTCCTTTGACTCTTCTGAATTGGAGATAACTCTGCAAAGATACTCAGGTATTTATGACATGGTTGCTAATGGGAGAAAAGAAGGTAAGAAGGCTGGAAAGAAGGGAGAGAGAGGAAGACAAACTGCCTGGGCAAAATGCACATAACAATTAGCTAGCTCTGCCCTGTGTCCTGCAGGAACTGGCAGTGGCTTGATAAACATTATAATAAGCCTCTCTATTAATTTTTGGTGACTTGACTTTGACAGGTGTTCAAAGCTGGTGAGGTAGAAAAGTTTATTGTAGAAAACTAAAGATAAATCACTCAACATTGTTTTTCTTTGAGTATTGATATAGACTCTATAACTTCCCTGAAGAATGGAAGAAGGAAAAAAGAAAAGCCACAGAATATTCTCCTCACACCAGCTGGGGGCAATCCAGTACTGCAAATGTGAGAGTGGAGGAAAAAGTGCACCAGAAAGAGCACATCTAATGTTGCTGCTACAGCCTGAACTGGTGTCTTTTCTTCTCAAATTAATTTATCTCAGGGCTCTGAAAGCCATAGCAACAGAGCAGGGCTGAGGTGGCCAGTCGAGAATGCCCTCTACTCTTTGGAACCGCCAGGGCCAGATATCAAAGAATTCTTGATCGGGCCGGGTGGCGACCGAGCATCACAATCTTCTAGACTGTTGGATGGTGAAGAAGGTGGCAAGCTTCTGGTTCAAGACTACAAACTGGGGGCTCCCTTATCCAGGGATGCTCGCTCTGTTGGGAGACACAGAAGGTCCTCCTTAAAGTCCAAGGGACCAGGCTGATCCCCTAAGAGTTATGCATGTCTTGGAATGCCATGGTGCTAGTCACATTAATCTGATTATGTGGTTTATAAATAACCCCAAGGTACTTCTGGCATTGTTCCTAGTAAAATAATAAATGAAGGTCTTGCAAGTCCTAACATAAAGCATTGTTCCATATTTTGGGATTTATTGACTGTCTTTTTTATATTCTGTGCTGGGTTCCACAGAAGACTGAAGGTTGAAGTTTTCTCTTTATTTGTAGAGTTTATCAAGGAGATAAAATTGTAGCTACCTTAGAGAGATAATGCAAGATTGGGAGTGGTCAAAAGCTCTTGTAAATCAGAGAAAGAGGGGATCCTGATAGGCTGCAGTTGTCAGGAAAACTTTCAGAGAAATATGGTTTGATAACTCTTTATCCTGTCTTAGCATCTATCTGAGTGCAGTACAACTCTGTCCTGAAACTTCTGGAACATGTAACAGTATCTGTCCTAGTCTTCCTCTTGGGCAAAAGGAAGCCAAGCATTTATGTTCCCACGGATTCTTTTTGTTTGTTTATTTTTAAAAAGGTTTTTTGATGTTTGTTTATTTTTGAGAGAGAAAGAGAGCAGGGAAGAGGCAGAGAGAGAGGGAGACACAGAATCTGAAGCAGGCTCCAGGCTCTGAGCTGTTAGCACAGAGCCCTATACGAAGCCCAAACTCATGAGCTATGAGATCATAACCTGAGTTGAAGTCAGACTGAGTCACCCAGGCATCTCCCCACCCTGATTATTTTTATAGGGACAGACCTCCTTCCTCTTATGGAAAATTATAAATTAAAATTTCCTTTTGTGAAAACTTTCCATGAAATTTCTAAGCAAAACCGATTATTTATTACTATCATTCTCCCTTGAGAGTTTACCTTCTGTGTTGGCCATGAGGAAGGCCCTGTTGTGACCCACTGTTATATTTTACCAGCATTTTGGCTGCTTTTTTTCCTGAGCTTCATTTTTAGTTTGTCATTTACTCTATCCCATATAAATTTAATCACTGTATCTCTGCAGCTCTCTGAATATCTGCTGGCTGAGGCTTACAGAGCAGAATGAAAGTAATAACAGATGCATTGGTGATTCCAAAAACTCAAGTCGATAAGATTAGAAAATAATCTTTTTGAGAGATGAAAAGAGATGTGGGTTCAGACACAAACTTGTAGTTTTTGACAACTCAGTGCCAGAACTATTTTAAATGAAATTCGTGTAAGATTTATTATCTTGCATTTGAGAACTGTTGATAGCTTAATCAGAGGATTTGATCGAGATTTTTACACACAGATATCAAGTCCCTTAAATTTTCATTTAAATTGTTATTACCAGTGAGTTTTGTCTACAAGCATGACTTTTATATTGAATAATGCTGATCCTGATAATACCCTGACAGAGATACTATGTCAGTCATCTGGTAGATGTTAGGACAGTTTCACATGCAGCTTCTTCTGTCCACCTGACACCAAGTTTTCCAATGGAGGGTGGCTGAGGGGTAGCAGCTGACTTCTTTAGAGCCCTCCCAGTCTGACCAAGCCTTCTTTCCTGACTGCATATCCATTCCTCCTCCTTGGTCTAACCAGGCTGCCTTCTGTATTATAGCTAATATCTGACATCACTCAGGCCTGAAATGTCCTTCATCCTCCTTAACATCTCACCTGCCATTCAAATTCTACACATCATTGCCTCAGGCACCATTTTCTCCCCAAAGCCTTTTCTGATCCAAAATTGGGCATAGTTGCATCAGCCTCTCAAACTTCATATCCCATACGTACTGATCTTATGGCTGTTAAAATAGTCTCTCTTTATGATAATCAATAGAAAGGTCTTAAACTTTATACCCCATAATGGCAGAGACCAAATTTTAGTAAGTCTTTCATAAGCTCTGTCTTGTGTTTTACAGATAGAGTACTGAAATATTTCTTGAATGACCAAATGACATTCAAGGCAGTAGAATAGACCTAAAGCAAAGGGGCCCCCTCCTTCACCAATTTGGCAGCTGTCTTATACTTAGTGGACACCAGGTATCTGTGGAATGAAAGGGCACGTGCATGGATGGATGGATGGATGGATGAGTGGAATGGAAGGATGCTCTGAATCTGGTCTTTAAAAGACCATTTCGATTATATGCTTTCACCACACTCATTTCTCCCCTCCTCAGCCCTACTGCTCACTGCACCTTCACCTGAAGGTCTCTGAGAACCCCTACACCTCAGGGGTCATCGCTAGCCGAGACACTGCCCCCAGCATCATAGTGGCTTCAGGTAAGAAGCTTGCCTGGTTGGCTTGCTGTGGAAGACTGCATTTCTTTTAAGAAGCTAGATGTCTGTGCTGGGAACTTAATGAGTAAGCAAAACTATATTTTGAAAGTCAACCTAAAGCCATTGACCCTGAAGCAACTGTGCAGAAAAACCTTGCTCGGATATAGTGTTTACAGTGTCAGTCCATCTCAGGCAGTGATTGCCTGCACAGCCCATTGTTAGCTTTTGCGGACAGCTCTTTTCACTAATGGTGATGTGCTCTTTCTAGGCAACATAGGTTCTGAATTGTCAGACAGCGACATCAGCATGTTTGTCTCTTCAGATGCGGGGAACACCTGGAGGCAGGTAAGAAAGTATCCCGGGTCACGTTGCTGCAGTTTAAATGACATAAAAATTGTTCAACTGGGTTAAATTCTGAGAACTCATTCAGCTGTACGTAAATCCTAAAGCTTGTCAGTGTGTGTATTTTCCTTTTTGTGTTATGAGAGTCTTAAAGTTTAGCAAAGTCTTTGAGTTTAGCAAATATTTGTGCAATTTGTTTTGTTTTGTCATTTGGTAAAAATGACCATTTTTCAGAGCTTCTACGTAAGAAAGCTGATAAGTGACAATGACACCAAATTGAATCTGACTGAATTTTTTTCAGAAAAGGAGACCAGGATCCCAAAGAGTTTATCACAGGGGAGCATGGAGCCTGGAGGGTAGATTGTATACCCAGCACAGAGCTGCCCTCATAAATTCCCCTTGCCTCACATAGGAGCACATGTACCCCAATGTTCATAGCAGCACTCTCCACAATAGCTAAAACATGGAAAGAGCCTAAGTGTCCATCAACAGATGAATGGATCAAGAAGATGTGGTTTATCTATACCATGGAATACTACATGGCAATGAGAAACAATGAAATCTGGCCATGTGTAGCAACATGGATGGACCTTGAGGGTGTTATGCTCAGCGAAATAAGTCAGGCAGAGAAGGACAAATATCATATGTTTGCACATATAGGAGGATTAGGAGGAACTTGACGGAGGAACAAGGGGGAGAAGAAAGGCGGAAATGGTGGGGGAAAGGGAGAGAGGCAAACCATGAGAGACTCTTGAATGCTGACAAAAACTGAGGACTGATGGATGTGGGGGGGAGGGGGGGCGGGCATGGAGGAGGGCACTTTGGGGATGAGCACTGAGTGTTATGTGGAAACTAATTTGACAATAAACTATTTGTAAAAAAAAAAAAAAAAAAAAAAAAAATTCCCCTTGCCTCAGAGTCAGAATACAAAGGAATGCAATGATGGTGAAATAGCCATTACCCAGGTGGTGTTCTGAAATGTTTACATGTCACGTGCATAAGACAGAGTCATAACCATCAGGGTGCATATGCTAGGAAGAGTACGAATGGAATCACTAAAAACCAAGTGTTTAGCTTAATGCTTCCTCTCTTCTAAATGAAAATTAGATACCCATAGCTTATAAAACAGGCATTTAATGAGGTTTAGCAATCATAACAAGATATGTGCCTAATGCACGGTTGTTACACTTCAATAAATATGTTTTAATAACCTACTGACGTTTAATTATCATACAGTAACTAGCACCGTAAATTGAAATCTAATGCACAGGTAATCACACAGAAATGAGAACTCCCTGCTTTATGTTTTAGACAGAGATGTCCATGTTATGGTCCAGTTACCATTTCCTAGCTTCTGACCCTTTATGGGCCCTCCATATGATTCACATGGTTTGAGAAGAGCAAGGCAGGAAAGACAGTTACTTAAGAATCACCAGGGCTACTGATCTTGGAGCTATGTAGTAACATGGACTGTTGAGCTTCCTCTAGAGAATAGTTCAAGAGCCAGAACCCCATTTTGTTTCTTCCAACACCCCAAACAAACCAAAGGACTCTTTACATCTGCAATCCTGGGCTGCATCTTAGACATAAGAAGTAAACAAAGGGGAAAAAACAATACATAACTCATATAGAGAGGACACAAAACTTGTTTGTAACCCATCTCCATTTGACTTCAAATTGGTTTCTCCACTTCTGGAGAAAAACCTACCGATATAAGTACATGATGCATTTACCCAAAGATGATTTGTTTAGATCAGCACTACGTTATGGCTTGGTAGAGAATCTATGAATTGAACAAGAACAGTTTTCCTCCGTAATACTTGGAAAACTTGAAATAATTACATCGGGAAAGGATACTGTAATGCTACAGGTCTCAAGCCTGTGAATTACTATACACATGGTCTTTGTCAAGTCACCACATCTCTCTAAACCTTGGTTTTCTCATCTGTAAAAATGATAATGCTGGAGTAAAGTACCTCTAAGCCTTCTTCTATCCAAAGATGTTACACAATATGATGGTTACCCAGTATTCTGAGAAGTGGGTCAGAAGTGGGAATCAACAGAACTTACTACAACAAGATGGGATGAGAAGGATAAATACATAAGTATTAATTCTTCAGATTCATTTGTGGTATGCCTAAAATCATTTTATACCATGCCAGTGGTATGTGTGGCCCACCTTGGGAGCCTTATTTATACCTGTCTTTCCAGAGATTTTTGAGACACCCTGGTCTATCATAGGAAGGATTTTTCTCCTCATATGAAGATTAGTTCTCTAAACTCTGGGTGTGTGTAGTTGTGGTTGTGTGTCCATGTGGATGTGTTTTCCTCTTGCAGATCTTTGAAGAAGAGCACAGTGTCTTGTATCTGGATCAAGGTGGCGTCCTGGTTGCTATGAAGCACACGTCTCTCCCAATTCGACATCTCTGGTAATGACACTGATTGCCCATGAGTCATGCACCTGATGGTCCCATATTGCTAAGACCAGTAGAGGAGTCAGGCTATCAGATGGTGACTGTGTTTGCAGTAAAATGCCAAAGTCTACTAGAACATCATTTATGCCTCTGCTCTATTAAAATAAGGTCATCACCAGCAGTTTCACAAAAGGAGAAGGAAAGGAGACAGAGGAGGGAAGGAAGTGGGGGTGGGGGGTAGGGCTGAAGGGAAGGAGATTGAGAAAGATCGAGATTCTACCCCAGAGAAGAGTTGCATTATGGTTTTCAAATATGACAGTACCCTCCCCAGTACCTTACTCTTTCAGCACTCTTATGGGGACTATGGTGTGTCGGGTAAAATAGGTAGAAGTCAAGAGTAGCTTAACATGTGCTCCTTACTTGTGTTCTGTACAGAGATTAGCAGTTTAGGCAAGTCTGTTCCTCTCTCATTTCCCCCTGATTCTATTAGTGGGAGGGGTTTTACAGTCGGTACCTCTACCTGCAAGTCTTGCCCAGATGGGCATTTAAGGCCTAACTTCCATAATGGTTTCCAGTAGAATCCTTCATCTCTGTTTTTGAAAGGGGCTCTCTCCGTAGTGCAAGGATGTTCAAAACCAAAAGCCTGATTTTCCCCCTAGTGTGAATTACTTAGGAAACCAAAGGGAAAACTGCAGAAATAAGAGGAATAGAGCCTTAGCTTGGGTGAAAGCATCTAAGGGAAAGGAGGAGCAAAGGAAGCATCTTGGGTGACCTGAAAATTTGCAGACTTCTCTTATTCGCAAGAGCCATTCCTTCTGTACACCTGCACTCAGTGAGTCAGCCAGGATTTGAAACGGTGTTAAGAGGGAAGCCACCAGGGGTTTGATCACTTGGAGGCAGCTGGTTTAAGTCCATCTAAGTAGTTCTTATAAGGCCATTGCTCTTCAGAATCACCAGTAAGGCTTACTGCTAGGTTGCACTGAGGTTTTGGAAAGGGTCACATTGAGATCTAAGATCTAATAAAATATCCAAGTTTAAAAAAATTCTATCAAAGACTTATTATCATTCACATTTCATGCAGCTCTCCCCCTTATGGCTATTATAACACATCTGGGTCCCCAATCGCTTGGCTAACTGTATTTCTACCTTCTGATGTAATTAAGAATACGTATTCACATAAAAGGCTCTCTTTGACAGTGCCCCGGGTACTTTTAAAGTGTATTCTCTCCTGGCTGATAGTATTTTTTCTCTGAAAAATTTTTTTTTCCTTTGAAATCTTATGCCTGTTATTCTTTACTTTCATTAGGTTGAGTTTTGATGAAGGGAGATCTTGGAGCAAATACAGTTTCACATCTATTCCACTTTTTGTGGATGGGGTTTTGGGCGAGCCTGGGGAAGAGACTCTAATCATGACGTAAGTGAAAAACTGTGATGTCCTCTAGTCTTAACAGAAATCCAGGAACATGTTTTTAGCAAGGCCTATTCACTTCGCTATTGTTATATTTGAAATTGCTAGCAAGGTCAGTATATCTGACTGCATGATTACTTGGCAGAGGGGAAAAAATGTGGGTGGCTATTTTCTTGGCTCTTTACTAATTAGGAGACCCATACCAAGGGCTAACAGCACAAGGGCATGATTCATTTTTTTCCTATGCTGAATGGGCTTAGGGAAATTAGAAGTGATTATATCAACAGAAAATAAAACGCTAAATTGAAAACTTTAATAATAAACTCAATATATAGATAATCACAGGCATATAAGAATGCAGAACTTTAAGGCAGAACACAGAGCTTGATCACAACCCCACAAAGGATTTTATTTTTCCCTGGCTCTTTACCTAACCCAATTGTGAGGCATATTAGGAAAACTGTGAGAACAATCTGTTCTTACGAAATTGCATTTGCACTCATTCTTGTCTGGAAAGTGACAATCATTAATTTGTGAAAGACTTGATTAATGAGTTGCCTGCTTAAGGGTTTCAAAACATGAGCTTTGAATTTGAAATATGAAACGGTGAGGGATTTTTCTTCCCCTGGAAAATTGGATATGGAAAACAGAGGGAAGGTTTTAAAGCAGTCGACCTTGTCATCAAAAATCATAGTGAATAGTTGGTACATTTTCTAATTTTTGTCTTCCCTTTTTCAGTGATAGAAAAGATCAGCAAATGTTTAATATGCCTAATAGCTACCCTTTTGCCCATGGTACACATAGCTCAATTAGCAATTTGTTCTATAATTTGTCTTTATTCAGTTTTCATATTTGCAAAACACAGATGAAAAAAGCTGACTGAAAAGGCTACTTTGTAGCTTTTATCCACAGATATCTATGATTGGTGATTCAAACACCTCATTATATACCCGGATTTCTCTGAGTAAGGAGAGTGGCATGCACAGTGTAGGAAGCAGTTCTGACTAGTTGGCCCCATTGCCCACATTCCCTAGGGACTAGTGGGAAGAGAAAATAGCATGGAAACCATGGGAACCAGGTACATTATAGCAAGAGAACCTAGATGTGTAATCTTGGACCACATAGAATGCAGCATTTGTCATTTCTTTTCTTCTTCTTCTTCTTTTTTTTTTTTTCCTATCAACCAACCATTCTTGTGGTACAGTATGCAGAAGTGGGTTTTTAAGTCAGACACCCTGAGTTCTGACTCTGCCAGTTCCTAGTTATTTTTTTGCATGTTAACAATACTCTCTGAGCCTGAAATTACTCATATGTGATAGGGAGCCAATAATAGTAACCCTCCTCATCACTGTGTTCTGAGGCTTGACTGATGTGATCAGTGTAATGTGTTTAGCATTATACTAAGCTCAGAGCAAACACCCTGCGAACACTGGCTATTGGCCTTATTACTCCTGTGATTATTGTTATCATTATGAACTCTGTAGAGTATTTGGACACTTCAGCCACCGCTCCGAATGGCAGCTGGTCAAGGTGGAGTATAAGTCCATTTTTGATAGACGCTGTGCCGAGGAGGACTACAGACCCTGGCAGCTACACAGCCAGGTAGGATGAGGGGAGCTGAGGTTGAGTTCGGGGTGGAAGGCGTGGGGCGGGTGATGGGGAAGAGCCGGCCATGAAAGTGTAGGAATTGGGGTTCTCTAGGTTACGGTGCCCATCTACTGCTTTCTTGCATGCTTTTGAGTTTCACGGCGGTGAACAAACTCAACATTTACAGCTTGTTGTGAAGTAATTTCTTTTTCTTTTTCTTTTTTTATTGTCCTAGGAGGTAATGAGATAAAATTCAAATGTGCTTGGCTTAGACTTCCAACTCAAAATGAAAAACCAACTCAGCACACAAACAAAATTTCTCTGAGCATGTCATATGATTGCAGGGTAGGGGCAGGGGTGAGAAAAAGATCTTCAGTTTTATCTAGCGATGCAGAGATGTAAAATAATAAAATTATACTCAGTGAGCAGTGCCAGTAAAATCCTCCCTTATTGCCCTGTGATTCCCTGGGATTGTGTAGTGCTTCTTACCTCCTTCCAAAGTACTCATGGTACAAGGATGCAGAATTATTAATAGGAAACTGTCTTGCATTTTGCCCCCCCCGCTGATCAGCTCCTATCAGAATGCTTGGCAAAAAGCATCTCTCCCTCAATTTCCCAAGGTGGAAGTCAGTCTCCAAAGACATGGTGGAGGTTCTCACTGCACACCCATCACCGTATTCAGGGAGTGATCCATTGTCTCACCAAACCTAGACTAAGTGCACTTGACCCCTGAATAACAGGGGTTTGAACTGTGCAGGTCCGCTTATATGCAGGGTTTTTTTTTTTCCCCCAATAAATACAGCACAGTGTTCTAAGTGCATTTTTCTCTTCCTTAGAATTTTCTTAATAAAAGTTTCTTTTCTCTGGCTTACTTTCTTGTTAGAATACCATATATATAGTACACATAACACAAAAGATGTGTTATTCAACTATTTCTGCAGTCAGTAAAGCTTGCAGTCAACAGTAAGCTATTAGTAATTAAATTTTGGGGGAGTCGAAAGTCATGTATGGATTTTTACTGTGTAAGATGGTCAGCACCTCTAACTCCTGTGTTGTTCAATGGTCAAAGTAGTATTTTTATATACAGATGCGTCACGCAGCCAGTTAAAGTGAATTTGCTCAGGAAACACAGTATATAGTGGCCTGGACAAAACTCTTTTCTGTCCTTCAGACACAAAGAAAGCTGTGTTTCACAGTAAGGTCTACATCAGCTAGAATCATATACCCTTTTCGCAGACTCGGTAATAAAAGGAATACTCATGTACGTTGCTGTTATTTTCCCCTATGAGATGTGCAATCACTGTGATATTCAAAGCTCTTATTTATTTTGTGCAGAAGCACTGAGTTTACTTCTCTCACTTGTCTGGTAGATAAACATAAATCAGTGCTATAAAGTTCTGTGGGCAGAGGTGTAATAAATTGAGGCAGAGTGTATCTTTATACTTCTTAGGAATACGCTGCTCATAAATGACTGAATGCATAAATCTTTTATTACAGAAGAATTAAACTTAATTACCAGAGATTTGTTGGTGATACACTGCTTATAAGCTGAGTCTTAGTTATCTGTATGTCCCTCATTGCACTGTGCCTCATACCTTGCCAAATAAAGTTTTGCTGAATATTTTCAGGAGAGAAGGGTGTTTTTTGACACACCCTCAATGCTTCTTAGGATTACATTTATAGTTGCCATTCTACACCAAGGTTCTAGACATCAAAAAGAAAACGCCGTTAGTGCAAAGCAGGTGACCTGTGTCCATAATACACTAAGGTTTGAGAACATGTCCCTCAGTGTCCTGAGTTGAAGCAGGGAAGGTCCAAGTGATGTGCTCAACTGTGTAAGATCCTTGTCTCCTTATAGGGGGAAGCGTGCATCATGGGAGCAAAACGGATATATAAGAAGCGAAAATCAGAGCGAAAGTGTATGCAAGGAAAATATGCAGGAGCTATGGAATCTGAACCCTGTGTCTGCACAGAGGCCGATTTTGACTGGTAAGCTTGTGCTGTTGTTCCCCGGAGTCACTCAGTGCATCAAATCCATGTGAGTCTTAATGAAAGCAGAGATTTGAAGTAATAGTAACATGTATAGAGGTAAGTGGCAAGCCTCATATTCTTATGAAATTACTTCTGGAGGACAACATGGTTTATTGGTTATGTGCATGTGTATATGAAGAAAAACAACAACAGGAATTTCTTTGGACTGAAAGGATTCAGAAGATGTCGTCTGGTTATCCTCCACATGTTGGATAGATCTCAGGACAAAAAGAGAGACCAGATACCCCCCTTGAGTTGCTTCAGACAACACCACTGAAAACAATAGGTTGACTTTTCAGAGAACAGATATATTTGTGCTCAAGGTAAAAACTTCGTAGAATCTAGGTTCCTAGGAACAATGAGCTTATAAAACCACACATTTGCTGTTACTGGGAGTTTTCAGTCCATGGTTAGTTAGCTGACAATTTGTACACAAGCTATGGAAGACGTTTCTGATTTCAAGGCAAGGATTCAGTGGCATTGGTAGTCTGTTGCTCTGTGGACATGGTGGTATAGGAGACTTCTCCCTTTACCAGGATTAAGCTAGTATACACCAGAAAAGTACCGAGATATTTGAGCACCATAGCATTCTTCCCGAAGCATTTGATAAGCAGAAAGCTAGTCTGTGGCATCAGTGATGCCCTTGCTTTGTTCCATATCGGTGTTTGGCATTCAAGTGAGGTTGGAAATTATTAAGGATGAGTAGGTGGTAACTCCCTTCATCGTATCCATCTCGTTTTCTGTTCCTTTTCTCTTTCTCTTTTTCTGTTTCTTTAAATTTATTTATATGTTTTGGTTTAGAAAAAGGAATTGCTAAGTATATATGTCAATGTCAAGTGGTTAAAACTTGACCTGCATAAGGAACCAAAGTTATTCCTTTAATGTTGGATATCTACCTGTGTAGCAATCATAGATCACTTATCTGACCATCAAAATATCAGTGAATGAGTTAGAAAACGTTAAGTCTTCTCTCATGGTAGACCTTTGGAGATATGCCCTGAATGAGTAGTTCTGCTCAGGCCTGCCAAAATTGGCCGCCAGCTCTCAGACCAATAACCCAACACTGTTCTCCTCTTGTTGATAGACAAGGCAAGACAAGAGCCAGTGCTATATCTCATGGGCCCAGCCTGAGGATAACAGAACTTTAGTTACATTGGAGCTCACAAGGAATTCTGCAGGGGGCCTCCCCAGCTGTAACTTCCATTTTAGCCAGTGCAACATTATTACAATGATAAAAATATCTGATCCCTGCCCTACCTTTCAGGACTGACACCCTGAAATGCATGCACAGGGAAAACTTCAATGGAATTTTAAAGTCATTTATCCCATCCCTCTTTCCAACTGTTTCTCCTTTACCCCCTCTATTCAAGGAGGATTTGTAAAGGATGACATTTTATCTTAGTCATTTAGCTTCGGCCTTACCAGATAGTAATTCCTTTGTAAAGAGCAAATAAATTTATTCTAGTAGAAAACCAAAGAAAAAAGTGAGAGAGGTGTTTTGAGTCCCTGATGTCTCCTGGAAGTGTTGGTTTTGGGGCAGTCTTTTCTACAAGGTTCTAAAGGGTCTTTTGTTACTGTTATTGTCATGTGGTTTTTTTTTTTGTTTGTTTTTTTTTTTTTTGGATCATTGTATTGTTTTATTTTTTTTCTAAGATGCAAAGTTAAGGGAAATTTTTATTTATTTTTATTTTTTTAATGGTTTTTATTTATTTCTAGGAGAGAGAGAGAGAGAGAGAGAGAGAGAGCGTGAGCAGGGGAGGGTCAGAGAGAGAGGAAATCACTCTGAAACAGGCTCCAGGCTCTGAGCTGGCAGTCAGCACAGAGCCCGACACGGGGCATGAACTGTGAGATCATGACCTAAGTGAAAGTTGGACACTTAACCGACTAAGCCACCCAGATGCCCCTATTTTTTATTTTTTATTTTATTATTTTTTAATAGTTTATTGTCAAGTTGGTTTCCATATAACACCCAGTGCTCATCCCCACAAGTGCCCTCCTCCATGCCCATCTCCCCTCTCCCCCCCAACATCCATCAGTCCTCAGTTTGTTCTCAGCATTCAAGAGTCTCTCATGGTTTGCCTCCCTCCCTCTCCCCCACTATCTTCCCCCCCTTCTTCTCCCCCATGGTTCTCAGTTAAGTTCCTCCTAATCCTCCCATACGTGCAAACATATGATATTTGTCCTTCTCTGCCTGACTTATTTCGCTCAGCATAACACCCTTAAGGTCCATCCATGTTGCTACACATGGCCAGATTTCATTGTTTCTCATTGCCATGTAGTATTCTATTGTACACATCCATGTGTTGTTTTTCTACATCTGTTTTAAGCTAATCTAGAGTGAAAGGAACACAGAGTAAGGAAAGCAAGTAAGCTTCTCCCTTCCCTTATCTCTCACTCCCCTACAGTGTTGGCCCAATCCTTATACTCATTTGTGATTGGAGTCTGCCCCTAACTGAAATGTATTCTGAGAAGTGGACAGTGAATCGTAAATGAGGCCATTGCAAGGTTTTCTGGTCAAATGGGGTTTTTGTTACTGCATGACTTCTAAAAATATTTTGGAAGACTCACCGTGACTTTGAGTTTCTACCAGTAACCAGAGCTTAAGTGAGTCCCGTTGACTACAGCATGATACAGGCAGTTGTTACTAAATGTTCCCTCTCAGCTTGGCTCACCCCTGGATGGTCCCCCAGGGACCTTGCCAGCCATCTCCAGCATTTGTAAAGTAATTCCCTGAAATGAACATAGGGTGTCCTGCAGGCAGCATTTCTGAAGTCTTCCTCTCCATGCTGTGTTGAACCAGCACCAAATCCAGCTGATACATGCAGGATTCTAAGTGCCAGCTGCCTGGTGACGGGCCCCAAGGCTAAGCCTGTTTCTCTCTTCCTGACCCTGTGTGCCAGCATCTCACCTCCATCACACAGATGGACCAATTCATGCTAATGCTTGCTGGTGACTGCCTGTGATTTGTCTGTGCATGTGGAGGTCAATTTGTTGTCAATCTCTGTGCCCAAGTTCATCTTCCAGAAGCCAAGAATATCAGGCCACACAGAGGGCTCTGGAAGCAAGAAAGAGAGAAGGCTGGGAGAAAAGTCTTTGACTATTTCCAAATGAGGGAGAGGATCTCAAGCCATTAGTCTCAACTGGCAACACTAACTGACTGGGACAGAAATTTTCCTCGGAGAAATGGTCATGACATTCCTAAAGGGCATTTCCTTCTCTGCTGTGACTTTGAAGCATATGGCTTGTGCACAGAGAGACTTGGCTCCACTCTACTTGGTAGATTCAGATGTCTTGGAAGAGCACCCCAAAGGCATCACCAGTAATGAGAAGCGTGCCACATGTGGGCTGTGTTTGCATCAGTGATGTCTATGCCAAGGGATGAGCTTCCACCACTGCGTGTTTTCTACTTGTAGCTGTCTTGGGGCCCACCTACCATCAGTGTTATGCATTCTTCTAATGAGAACATAATCTGCTTTCTCAGTTTAAAGCCGTTTAATTGGAATTATTGGTCATTGAGTCTTCATCTCTACACAAGCATCTCTGTTGCTTTCAAGTTGTCTTTCCCAACACCGTCCTGGGTAATTGATAGATATTCCACAGGGGAAAAACATTTTTGGAAAGGTATTGATTCAGTGAAGTCTTGTTTTTTGACTTCTTGGCTAGAGTAGAAATTGGCTGTGGACTACCATGAAGAGGTTCTCAGTGAATTTGCCTCCGACTGACAGGTTTCTCTTGGCTCTTCCCCCCACAGTGACTACGGTTATGAGCGACACAGCAATGGTCAGTGTCTGCCAGCATTTTGGTTCAATCCGTCTTCTGTATCAAAGGATTGCAGCTTAGGACAGAGTTATCTCAACAGTACTGGGTGAGTGTCTGAAGTGGTGACCTCGAGAGGTCAACCTCTGCCGTTTTTCAGCCTGTGTGAAACTTAGAGAATTACTCCTGATTGAAGACCAGGACTTCTGCATTACAGCACAATTTTTTTTTTTTTTTTGGTCCTTTCAGTAATGCAGCACAGATTTGTATTAATTGTGCAAATTTCATCTGAGAGTAAGACCCCACTTGCAAATAAACAAAGTGGGTTCCTTGGATGGAGAAGATGATGATGATGATGATGTTGATGAGTCTCTTCATTTTATGATACATCATTTCAGAACTATTTCTGTGACTACCCTTTATTCTCATTGCATCTCTGTGAAGAAGGCCCAGTAAATATTTCATAGGCTCACCTCCTGTTTTAGAGATATGGAAGATAGAGTGAACAGAGAAGCTCAGTGACTCATCAGGAGTGTACCGCTGTTCATGGAAATATGTTTTGTTTTCTTTCTTTGTCCAGTCTTGACATGTTTAAGGCATCCCGATCTTTGTGAATCTCAAATTACATTTTAAAAATTTGTGTCTAATGTTCTTGTTGTGGGGCTTATCCAATATCATTTAAGAAATACCACAAAAGAAAATATTTCATGACTTTTCCACAAGTGTAGTTGCTGTGTATCAACTTTAAAAATAGATGTGGGACTTATTTGGATTCTATTCCAAACGTTATGTAAAAAGACATCTTTCAGCCATTTGGAGAAATTAAATATGGACTGGTGATAATTGATATATTCATCAGGGACCTCCAAAGAAACAGAACCAATAGGAAATTATATATTTACATATTATATATAAATTCATATAATGCAATATCTGCATATACATACATATGTCTACATATATATATACATATATATATCTACATATATATAATAAGGAATTGAATCACATGATTCTGAAAGTAGGCAAGTCCAAGTCCCAAGATCTGCAGAGTGACTTTGCACGCTTGACACGGACGAGAGCTGACAGTTTATTTCTAGTCCAAGTCTGAAGGCATGAGAGCCAGGGAAGCCAGTAAAGGCTTCTACAAAAGGCCAGAAGGCTCAAAACCGAGGAGAAGCCAGTGTTTCAGCCTGAGTGTGAAGGCAGAACAAAAAGCCAGTTTCTGGTTTGAAGGCAGGCAGGCAGAAAGAATTCCCTCTTGCTGAGGAAAGGGTAAGTCTTTTTGTTCTGTTCAAGGCCTTCACCTGATTAGACAAGGCCTCCCCACATTGGGAGAGCACCCTGCTTTATTCTCTCTACTTTTTAAAATGTTAATCTCATCAAAAACAGCCTTCACAGAAATACCCACACTAATGTTTGACCAAATATCTGAGCACCCCATGGCCCAGTCAAATTGATACATAAAATTAACTATCAAGGTGACATTAGGTTATATGTAAATATACATACTTATATTACATTTATTATACTAAGTATCTTATAATTACATATTTAGGTGTAATAATAGTATTTTGGTTTGACTTAAAGAAAAGAAACCTTATCTTTTAAGAATATATGATGTGTGACATTTGTTGTTTTTTTATGTTTATTTATTAATTTTGTGGGTTGGGGGTGGAATGCAAGTGGGAGAGGGGCAGAGCTACAGAGAGAGAGAATCCCAAGCAGGTTCCACACTGTCAGCACAGATCCTGACACAGGTCTCAGTCTCACAAACCATGAGATCATGACCTGAGCCGAAATCAAGAGTCAGATGCTTAACTGACTGAGACACCCAGGGGCCCCAACATTTGTCATAAAATGTTAAAAAAAAAAACAGATGTTGAAAGTGTTTGAAGGTGAGTTAATGGAGGGTGTGGGTATTTATTATACCATTTCCTCTCACTTGTACATGTTTGAATATCTTGCTCTTAAAATGTGAAAAAGAGAGGGAGGAAGGGAGGGGAGGCGGAGGGACGGCCTCAGCAGGGCAGGATCCACGTGACAGTTGCTTCCCTCTCTCATGGCAGCTGCAGCGCACAGGTGAGGACGTCCACGTTTCCATTTGTGCCCCTCTGTACTTGACATTGTACAAATGTTTTTTAATTAAGAAAAAAAATTACCCAGAAAGCATATAGTTTTCTTTCAAGGAAGGAAACAACACAGACGTGTATCATCAGATATTTGTATCCTTGTTGTTAGGGATTCCTAGAACTTTGGAAAACAGGGATAAGCTGTGATTTATTCGGAACATAGCATAAAACCTGAGGAAAATACAAATGACATTTTTACAGCAGGGTGTCAGTGAGGCCGTCAGCGTGCACACCGTGGAAAACAACTGCAAAGGGCTGCTGACATAACCACACTTACCGGTGAAGGAACGCCGAAGAAAGGAGTTTTATTACTTGCATGTACCAGCATGTTTAGACATTGTAAAGGGCATTGGAAACCCCTAAAGCTAATTTCAGAATTGATTTGTTTCTTACTAACTCAGTCAAGGAAGTTGTATCATTTTCTCTTTGGTATTGATGGGGGGGGGTCCCAGTACACAGGAGTCTAAATTGTTCCAGACACTATTCAAATCACTGGAATAAGACCGAGTGTAGGCAATGACCCTCACTCTTCAGTTTATTGAGAATACACACACATGCGCGCGTGCACACACACACACACACGCGCGTGCATTTTAGGCTACCCCCAAGTAGGTTTTACCCTTTCTTTGGTAAACTTAGTATGTGAAATTCAAATAAGCCCTGACCCCTATAAAAGAAGACATCAGAGATGATTAACTAATAATAGTCTTTTCAATAGTATTTTTCATCTATACCCCATAAAATTAAAATTTTAATTAAAAATGTTATTCAGTAATAAGTGTCCAGGTATATAAATGTTTGTCAATGCAATTATGTTTATTAATCACAGAATCACAGACATTACTGCCTATGACTCAGCTCCACTCTCAGAGCTTTGTTCATGTAAGTGAGGATTGCATGATAGGATCTGACCCAAAGAGATTTGTGTTAAGTTACCACATGTACCGGTTTCCTCTGTTCCATTGAGACTTTCTCCAGAAAAGTACCCACATCAATGGTGTAAAGAGGAGATGGGCTTATGTAAAGAGGAGATGTGATAAATGCCAGCCCTCGGCAGGGAGGACAAGCACCTTGCTCTCAAAAGCAAGGCTCTCACAGGTGGAGCAGTGGCCCTGTGGGCTACAGTCAGGATGAAGGGTAGGAATAGTGACCTCACTGATTGGCATATATTGCCTCTCTGCACATTCTGCATTAAGAACAAGAAGATCCTGTGGCCCCTGGGTGACTCAGTTGATTAAGGGTCTGACTTCAGCTCAGGTCATGATCTCACAGTCCAGTTCGTGAGTTTGGGCCCCATGTCGGGCTCTATGCTGACAGCTCAGAGCCTGGATCCTGCTTCAGATTCTGTGTCCCCCTCTCTGTCTGCCCCTCCCCTACCAGTGCTTGATCTCTCTCTCTCAAAATAAAGAAACATTATGAAAATTAAAAAAAAAAAAGAACAAGAACAAGAAGATCCTTAGTTGGAACAGGTGCCTGAAATCATCTTCATAGAAAGCCTCCTGCCATCAAATTACCATTTGCTGTGTGTATAACCAGCTCAGAAGTTGGCAACAGGTAAAGAATAGATGAAATTGAAAAAAAGAATGTAATGTCTCTCCAGCCCCTCAACCGAAAGAAAGTGTCCTGGCTGTGTGTTGATTCATTGGCATTTCAAAACCACAGATTCAGTATTTGATGTTACCACTACAGTGCTGCAATTAACCATTTAGCTTTTCACTTAAAGGTATTTAATTACAAAAGAGATATATACATACATTTTTCTGTGTTTCAAAAAATTAAGGGGGTACCTGGGTGGGTCAGTTGGTTAAGGGACTGACTTTGACTCAGGTCACGATCTCATAGTACACAGGTTTGAGCCCTGCGTCAGGTTATGTGCTGACAGCTCAGAGCCTAGAGCCTGCTTCTGATTCTGTGCCTCCCTCTCTCTCTGCCCCTCCCCCACTTGCAGTCTGTCTCTCTCTCAAAAATAAATAAGCATTAAAATTTTTTAAAAATAAATAAATAAAGCAATTCAGATCATCACCCCTCTTCTGCCCCTTTTCCCCACACAACTGTGACCTGTTTGGTGTGCATGCTTCTAAACACTTTGCATTTGCCAGCAAATATTTATGCCAAGAAAAAAATATACAAATTAATTTGGGAAGTTTTTCTTATATGTCGTTTCATACTAGATACATTATTTTTCTGTTTTCCTTTTCATTCAGAAATATATCTTAAACAACTTTCCAAGACAAAATATATAGGGCTCCCTTCCATCTAATTTCTTTTAATTCCAGAATATGAAAGCACCTGGTATTGTTTCATCATGGCTTTTCGTGGACATGTGGGTTATTTTCTCTCTTCTGCCACTATAGACAGTGTTGGAATCAATAAGCTCGTGCCATAATAATTGTTATAAAAACACCCAAAGATAATTAGATTCTCTTTTGGCAATTGGAAGTGTTTCTGCTGACTTGTAAAGCAAATCCCATTGAGCCAACTGCTTACTTCTTAGACCTGAGGATCGAGGTCTAATCTTGCCAAATCCATGCCAAATATTGCCTCATATGGGTAAAAACACTAGCTTTCTGCTTACACACTGCCAGGAGTCCCACTCATTAGAGATTAATTTGTATTAACTGCCATCTTCTTTTTAAACTACAAACGCCAATGGATTCTATAAGGGAAGGCTGAGAGGAAGGCTGAGTGGGATTTCCCAAGTTAACTGGGTGAGAAAGGTCACTTCGGGCAAAAGGAATAAGAGATGACCAGGCTGAAAGGGTCACATGATGCCAATGCTTGGAAGTCGATGATAGACCAAGGAGCCACAGTGCCTCCTAAGTCTCTCTCGTGTCCATCTTCGCTATCCATGGGCACCCATGCTCTGTCGGTATGGATTCTGTGTTGGCATCAGTCAGACATGAAATACAGAGGAGTCACAAGGGAAAGGTCAGCCTGCAGGTGGGAGAGCCGACTCCATCAGTTGTACAGGCCAGGT